CCCTCGAGACGCGAACAAAGTGAGTGCAGCAGAGATCGTGATGAATGTGATGAGAGTGTAGCAGAGATCGTGATGAGTGTGATGAGAGTGTCCTGATCGTTACGAGTGCAGTAGCTACTGCGATGGGTGTAATGGCGTGATTATTCGTTATAAAATACAGTTAATTACTCATCATTATATATTTACTTAAAACATATTTCGTTTCGAAATCACCGCAATCATTAAGATAATCAAAACCCAAGCTCGATATCTCAGAATCAGCACAACTCAACCGCAGTAATCACGCTAAAGTGCAATCGCAATTCGTACAATCGCAACACTCGATGCAGACAAAGATATGACTGCCCGATAAACGTGTGTAGGGTTTCTAACAAATATTACTTTATTCTGTGTTGTAAAATCATCAATCGTCACCAAATATTCATCACGATCACTATCGAAAACACGCGCGTGTCAAAACTCACCGCCTTCATTACGACCGTCAGAATTTCCACACTCGGCATGTTTTTTTTTGTTATCGTGAAATTCAGAGTCGTGCTCACCACACGGATCAATTGTTCACCGCACTGATGGTAATTTTGACGGTAGCCACACCAATAATCACAATCACGAGTATGACAACACACTATTCTCAACGATCATGAATACTACACGTCATTAGGTTCATCACTCATATCACACACCACCCGATTAACAATAACCACGCTCATCAGCAGCACAAAACTCACATAACACTCGTGACAATTACTACACTCGTATCACACTAATCACAATGACTGCCACACTTACTACCATACTCATCTCAATCCCTACCACACTCATCGCAATCACGACACCCACATCCCACTCATCACAATCACTACCACTCTCATCACAGTTACGACACTCACATCACACTCATCACAATCACTACCACACTCATCACAATCCCAACACCCAGATTACACTCATCACAATCACTACCACACTCATCACAATCACGACACTCACATCACACTCATCACAATCACTACCACACTCATCACAATCACGACACTCACATCACACTCATCACAATCACTACCACACTAATCACAATCACTACACTCACATCACACTCATCACAATCATTACCACACTCATCACAATCACTACACTCACATCACACTCGTCACAATCACTACCACACTCATCACAATCACTACACTCACATCACACTCATCACAATCACTACCACTCATCACAATCCCTACACTCACATCACACTCATCACAATCGCTACCACACCCATCACAATCACGACACTCACATCACACTCATCACAATCACTACCACACCCATCACAATCACGACACTCACATCACACTCATCACAATCACTACCACACTCATGACAACCACTACTCATACAGCACTAATCACAAAAATCACTACCATATTCACATAACACTCATCACAATCACTACCACACCCATGACAATCACTACTCACGTAACACTCATCACAATCACTACCACGCTCACATCACACTCATCACAATCACTACCACACCCATGACAATCACTACTCACATCACACTCATCACAATCACTTCCACGCTCACATCACACTCACCACAATCACTACCACTCTCATAACAATCAGGACACTCACATCACACTCATCACAATCACTACCACACTCATGACAACCACTACTCATACAGCAATCTTCACAACATTCACTACCATATTCACATAACACTCATCACTATCACTACTACACTCATCACAATCACTACACTCACATCACAATCACTACCACACTCATCACAATCACTACCACGCTCACATCACACTCATCACAATCACTGCCACACTCATCACAATCACTACCACACTCATCACAATCACTACCATATTCACACAACACTCATCACAATCACTACCACACTCATCACAATCACTACACTCACATCCCACTCATCACAATCACTACCACACTCATCACAATCACTACACTCACATCCCACTCATCACAATCACTACCACACTCATCACAATCACTACCACGCTCGCATCGCACTCGCCACGATCTCGCTCACTGCACTCGCACCCGCGCGCCGTTCCTCGAGACGATGGACGTCGGCGTCTTGCCGATCGCGGTGACGGAGATAAGAGAGAAGCGGGGGTAGCTATCAGCGAAAGAGCGTGCACGTCTCGAACGTGGCACAGACGTCGACAAAGTTCCACACGGTCACGAGAAGTGGCGTCACATCGCTGCGGTTGCTCACAGTTATATAAAATTATTATAATCACGACGACCGCGGCGGGTGCCTTTCGTGGTCGTGGCGATCTCCCGATTATTATTCGAATCATCGTCGCCGTCATCGTCACCGATCAATGCCGCCCCGAATTGTGGTGATCGTCGTCGCCGAGGCGTCGTTCGATCGCGACTTCGCATCTCGATGAGGTCGTTTGTCGCGACGATTCATCTCGATGAGGTCGTTTGTCGCGACGATCGGTGTGATGCCATTGACGACGGGGGTGCATGCTGATGCCATTCATCGTCTTCGCGATGTTGTTGTTGTTCGATAACGCGTACGAGCCTGACCATCGCGAACAATCGCGACGGATCGTCGCGATCTTTGATGAACTCGACGCTCGACTGCTCCACTGCGATCATCGCCACCGATCGTGCGGTGATAGCGCTACACGACTGAGCGCGATGATGAGTGCGATGATGACGAGTGCGATGATGAGGATTCGTGATGGTGACTATGATGATGATGATGATGGAGTGTGGCGAGTGAAGGTGGAGCGACGTGGCCGCTGGCCCTGATGGTCCCGTGTCTTTGTTGTGCGCTCGCTTTAGCTACCTGCGCCATTAACCGCATCTCATTAGGGAGCCACTCTCGCTTTGTGTTCGCACGCGGCGCTCTGTTAAGTGGAACGCGTGCGACCCAAGATTTATGCTCCTCGAGAAACTTGGGCGATAAATTTCTGGTAAAATAATAATATTAATCGCGGGGGCCTCTGACCGATTTCTAACAAAACAAAAACGAAAGCGCGCCTATTGGCACTTAACTTTTGGACCGAAATCAAGTCTGAGCGTTGCCATAACCTCTTATCGTTGGCGTGAGTTCTTCCTCGTAATCCTCGTACGTGCTGTGTGTCCGCGTCTCCCTTTGTCCTCTCCGCTTTGCCTCTCCCAATGCTTGATCTTTGTCCGCCGTGTCTCTCGTTCGGTTTGCGGGGCCCGATGGTTGTGTGTCCCTCAGCCTGTCCCCCGTGTTCTATGTAAATGCGTGTCTCAGTCTCAGTCTTTTGTTTGTGTGCGTCTGTGTTTTGTTTGCTTGTCTCTCTGTATGTGTACGTGTGTCTAGCGGTAATGCAGCGGTTAGCGTGCTGCGTTACGAACCCGGCCACCCGAGTTCGATTCCCGCTCGCGGCCAACACCAATGGCGACTATCCGACCCGACCTTGTATAAATATCGCCGCTCGGGAGACAAAGGCGGCTGGGCGTGGTGCTGGTCACCCACTTCCTCGTGTGCAGTACCGACCTTCATAGGTTCTCGCCGACAGCACTTTCCCCAACAGTCTGTTAAGGTTTATAGGGGTGGCGGAGGCGGTGGGGGTGTCTTTGTCTGGTTTAGCAAAGAGTGAAGCTAAATCTGAATGTACGAGGAAGGGTTTTTTGTTGTTGTTGTTGTCGTCGTCATTTCGATGTCAGAGACACATTGGGGGGCGTAATAACTCACGGCTCGAGTCAGCTGCGAGTTAAATTTCGAAGAGCTCTTGTTGGTCCGTTTGATGTACGTTGGACGCTTCAAGTTATCCACGTTGTTCAACTTGTCCTCCACGTGTGTGGAGGGGTCAAAGCTTTCACCGTCTTGGACGAATGTTCAATGTTCCCCGCCTCCATGTTTTTTGGGTCTGATTTATTTTTATTGGGGCGTGGGTGGGTGGGTGGGTGAGAAGAAAATACTGCCAAGTCTCGACCACAGCGCAAAGTTGCGAAGTCCCTGTCGGCCCCGGCGGCTCGTTAGGTGGCTCTGACCTGACCCTGCACATGCGCCCGTGACTCGCTGTGGCCGTCACAATCGTCGTGACCATCATTAACCTCTGGCATAGGGGCGAGTTTGTTTTAATCCTAATACGGCAACGATGGGTTTATTTATTTATTAATTAATCAATATTGAGTACTTGATAGTCCAAGAGTATCTGTTTATTTGTAATTTGTAAATAGTTGTTTTGTATTATTATTACTTTGATTGATTAGTTCTTTTGAGTCCAACAGAACGGATTTTGTTTTATCGTGTAGTTCCGATTCCCGGTCCCGTGTAAAAAAAATAAATCCTCACCCATCGCCTTAATGAACAAAGCCACTCGAGATGGCGAGCGGTGTGATCATTTGAGATTTTGTATACAGTGCTAACTCGATAATTACAAAATATATATTTATGTGAACGTTCTTCGTATCGTTGTGCAGCTACGGGACTCTTTTAGAATATCTGTAAGGAGTACTCTTATTGACTTAAAGCTTTCGTGACTGCAGGAATTCATACTCTTTGGGTGTTTCGGTAAAGTCACGTAGATGGAAAAATAATAAATTATTATTTATAATTAATTATTATTTTTCTATCTACGTGACTTTATAATAATTTTTTTTATTTTTCTTCTATCTACGTGACTTCACCGTTCTTTTAATTAATTATTATTTTCAATCTACGTGACTTTTCTATCTGCGTAAAAAATAAAATAACAAAAATCACGACGTTTCACGTAGATTGAAAATAATAATAATTAATTATCATTTTTTGTAAATAATAATTAATTATTATGTGACTTTACCGAATAGAACCAAAGAGTATGGATCCTTGCAGTCACGAAAGCTTCAAATCTAGAATAGAAAAATTCTAATTTATATTATATTTTTTCTCCTATCTACGTGACTTTACCGAAAGACCCAAAGAGTAATACTATTATTATTTTGAAATTATGTTTCAGTGACGTAACGTGCATTGTTCCTTTGTCTCCGCAGAACGGAACACGCGGCAAAGGGGACGGCGGAGGAATGAGCGTGCATTGAGTGAGCGACTCGAGTCCGGTGAGTGGCCGCCCATCACCACCACCACCATTACCGCCGCCGCGTTGTACGCATGTACGTTGAACTTCTTTCGCACAGTACGTAGCCAACCGTACTAATCGGAGGTGCGGGCAGGAGGGGGGGAGCGGGTAAAGGACAACAAAACTGAACAGCCCACGCGTGAAAGACAACATCAGAGGCGCCGTGACGCGCCTGCGACGAACGTCCCCCGAACGTACCCATGTGCACGCAACACACGGGTGTTAATTCTTGGTGCGGTGGGAAGTCGGCATTGTCTCACCACCCCCCCCCCCCCCCGGACTTTCATCTCGATCAGAAGTCGCGCGTGTGGTTTCGCGCCAAGGGCTGGCCGTGAGCGCTCGGGGGGGGGGGAGGTGAACAACACAAAAGATGATCTAAAGAGGAGGCGCCTATTAACGGTGTTATCTGGACCATCGACGCTCTTCTTTTTGATGATCTCTTTCTCGCCTTGTTTTCGTTTCATTTGCACGCGAAAGAATGCGGTCGCTTCGCGAACCCGGTCCCCGAGATGTTGTAGGGTTTTGTTTGTGTGTGTCTGTGTATAGTATAGCTCATTTAAATTATCCTACCTCGTTCTCCGAAAATAAATAAATAAAATGGACGTCGCAGACACAGGCTTACAAATAATCGACTTGTCGACATGACGATGTCAAAGTCACGATATACATTATTATGTTTTTTTTATATATATATAATCTGCAGCCGTACACGCACAATTGGGTTGCACAGCACGACGCGCCGCGAACTTTTACCGGCACCACGTGCACACGCACAAGCGCGTGCACGCGCGCACGCACACAGCCACGCATCACTCACGCACACACACACTCACGCGCGCACACACAGAACGACGGTGCGCAACCGGGTGTCACGGAGACACAAAAGGGCCGCAGCGCTGCGTTGTGTACACAGCAGTCGAGAACGCCGTGTGCACAGACACACGGAGAGAGGAGAGAGCGAGCACAGGGGTCGCCTCGACTGTGCTGTACGCGCCTGCGCCGCTGCTACTGCCGATGCTGCTCACGCTGCCTCGTCCGTGCTTCTTCGTACGAGCGAGAAGGGCGCTTTGCGCCGCCCAAGATCCGTCACGCGCTCTCACGCCGTCTCTCCGCGTCGCGCCGCTACAACCGCAACCCCACGGGGATTTACTCAAAAACAAAAAAAACACTTCTCGGAGGCTTTGAAATAGTCGCGCTCGGGACAGCATCCGCCTCTCGCCCCGCCGCTACTTCCCCCACCCCGACTCCCCCCGCCCCTGCCCCTCTGGCCACGCGCGCGGCTCCCCTCTTGAAGTGGAACATTCACTCGCGCCGCGCACACCTTGAGGCCGGCAGGCCGGGCAGTCTGTCTTCACTTGCAGTGTGCAGGACAGCTGCATAGACACCGAGTTGCTCTGCTGTGTAGATGCCCACCGCCTACAAGCAGGCAAAGAACAGTTTCCTAACACTTTGTGTGTGTTTAGTTTGTTGTCCTCCGCCCCTCTCCCTCCGCACGTGCCTCTCATGAGCACGGTTGGCTACGTACGGTGCGAAAGAAGTTCAAAGTACGTACTTTAGAGCAGACGTGAACGCTTCTCAAAGCTCCTACAATAGCCCGGACAGATGTCCATTGCCTAAAGCAGGCAGAGATAGCTTCCAAACGCCTACGACAGGGGCAGGGCAGCTTCTTAAGACGTATAGCAGAAAGATAGCTGTGTACACACATATAGCCGCCGGCAGGTCAGCTGTGCAAACATCTACAGCAGCCAGGACAGATTCCCAATACCCGCAATGAAACGAGATAGCTATGTAGTAGACACCTATAAAACAGGCAAGACAGCATCTCCACGCCTACAACAGGCTAAGAACAGCCTCCAAACACGTAGACAAAGTCAGGACAATTGTGTTACACATCTGCAACAGGACATAAAGCGTTCTATCCGTACCTAAAGTAGTTGGTACAGGCTGCCCGCACCTACAGCAAGGCAGGACAGTCTCTCCACACCTACAGCCTCGCTCGAGAGCGCCGGCTGTCTCTACGGGCCGTTCCGAGACCCTCCGGGGAACCGACTCTGTCGGGGACGGGCAGAGCGAGGGAGTGGTGCCGGTAAGAGGGACTCCCCCTACCCCCCTTGTATATCAAAGGGGGGAGCGAAGGGGGGGGGGGGTATGTGGCCGCAACAGCTGGTTTATATGTAGGCCACAGCCCTGTCAGGAAGGTGGAGGTTTGAGGACGGCAGAGAGAACGGGAGGAGGAGAGAGAAAGAAACTTCAGGGGAGGATGCGTCATCAAGGGTGGGTGCGGGGCTGTGTGGCTGGGGCTTTGCTGGGGGGGGGGAGCGGCGGCGGGGGGGGGGCTTAGCCGGCAGATTTTAATGCAAATGTTATTGTATCAAAACTTGCCAAGTAATGGGAATCCTTTTTTTTCTGTGTGTGTGTGCGTGTTGCTTCTTTTGGCCCAGCCGCCCTCCTACACAGAACGCGCGCTCTCCCCCCCCCCTTTTAAGCCGTTACAGATCTGACTGCGCAAAGCTCCTAATGGGTAACTTCCCCCCATTCTGCTGAACGCCTTCTAATTTACCAACAGCCACGGAGTAATAAATCTTAGGCGGCCCCTCTCGCGACAGGCCTGGTGGTTGGTGGTGGTATGCGAGCTCCGAGCCATCCCGTGGCCACTGAGTAACAAAGCGTCGGCAACCCCCCCCCTCCTCCCCACTATCCCCCCCCTCCTTCCCTCCCAGTTCCTCCCTCGCCTTGAACGAAACATTTTTGACACATTAGAATTAGGCGATAAGTAATTGGCAAAGATAGAAAGGCAGTAAGTGCCGCATTAAGCTGCGGTATTAGCAGCGGGCAAGGGGGCTGCGCGTGAGATGACCGCCACCTGAAGGTCCCACATGTTGACAAATGTTCGTGGCACGCGCAGAAGTTTTGAATAATATCAAGACGGTCGTGAAGAAAAATGTTATGGAAAATTGTTTTTTATCGTGTTATTCATGATGGTAAATATGTCACTTAATATGAAAAAAATGTTTGTTGGTCTTGTTCTGTAACTTGAAAAAAAAATAGTGGTCACAATCATGGACAGCGCGTCTGCACTGGTACTTCGAGGTACATACGCAGGGGGGGGGGGGGGTACGCATTTCTTTAGAACTGCTTTTTTTTAAATATAAATATGTGTGCGTTTAGTTTGTTAACCCCCCCTGCACCTCCGATTAGCACGGTTGGCTACGTACGGCGCGAAAAAAGTTCAACATACAGTACGTACCGACTCCAAAATGCGCTGCGGGTCTGCGCGTAAATCACGGCTCTCGTGCCGCATTGCCACGGGGGCGGGAGGGGGCGAGGGGGCTTTGAGGGTTGCAGTTCGCGGCTTGGGATTTTTGAAGAGCCGCCAAAAAAGAGACATATATATAAATAAACTACTTTGAAAAAAACATGTGTATACATAATAGTTAGATCGCTACATTGTAACACGATGATAAATCACGTGGGTAATTTGGTCATTAAAAACCGTAGCCTCACGGTGGTGAGTGTGCGTGTGTGCGGGTCTTACCGCCGGCTAAGCGCCGAAATCAAAACGGGTTTGTTCGTTTTTAGTTTTGCTTCCGCGGTCTACTAATGGTTAAAGTAAGATGTAAAGAACAGCAACAACAACACAAACTAAAACTTAAGTAACAAAGGTGAATCGTAACGGTGGTGTGAGCAACCGCGAATATGGGTGCGGGGTGGTTAAAAACGGCGTGGAGGGAAGGAATTTAATAATTTACCGATGAGAACCCACCGCATAAAACCGTAACAGTCCCGGAGCTCCACCCCATCAAACTTAATAACGGCCCCGAATCATTATCACGATCATAGCGTCCATCACCATCATCTCGGCGGAATGGGAGGCCGAGAAGGAATCGCTGGAGAGTGATTGGGGCGGCAGCCTTCTCATTAGCAGGCACGGCTTCGGCGCTAACTTACAATTCCATCCATTGCGCGCATCAACAACATCATCATAGCGCCCCGTTCATCAGGAGAGGGGCAAGGAAGGTGGTTTATTTAATCATAAGACAGTCGATATATTTATTAAAGTCACCTTCTTGCCCGCACCACGAGCCCCTTTGCTTGAAACTTAGAAGCATCGCCCGTGGGGTTCGGGTGGTGACATGTTTAGGGCTTTGCCATCGCCACGCCGCTGCTATCCCTGGTTGTTTTTCGTCTTTGAAATTTCGTCGTCGCCCGATTGGAGACACGACTCTGAACGGAAGCGATTCAATGCTGGCGTATGAGTGCAGGGCATCTGTTTATAATAATGAGCGTTGTTATTCTTGGCAAGAAAATCGTCCGGATCAGTTTTGACTTCTCTCTTTCTCTCTCACCGGGCGAGCGAGTGAGCGAGTCATTGAGCTAGCCGCCTCCTCCTCTCAGCGTCGTTTCAGGCACCACATTGTAAACTGCCTTCTCCAGCTACAAGTCAGAGTGCCCTGCCTGCCCTTTGTCTCTACCGCTGAATAAGTCATCGCCTTAAACATCGGCCACTAAATATAATCTACATTTTGGTTTCTGCTCGGAAGCGGTGTTGATGACAGCGGTGGTGAGATTTTTTTTTCCGTGTGTGTGCGCGCGCGTGTCTGCCAGTTCTTCTCTATGGGAGCTGTTTATCCAGAGACCCGATCTGGGTGCGATATAGTCACAGAGGGCAGAGGCAGCCGTGAGGAATTTCTGTGCCCTCTCCGCCTCTCCGCACGCACGCAGTTGAACGCCGCTCTCTGAGCGCGGCTGCGCTCCCCGCCCAGACGCGCGTAGCCTTTTTGCAGAGGCTGCGCGCGGGCCGCATTCACGAACGCATCCCGCCAGGCCCGGTCCGCTTCTTCTCTCTCCGTGCGCCGGGGCGAGAGGGCGGGTGGCGTTGCCCTGACACTCGCTTGAAGCAGCGGGCGGGCGCGCGGGAGGGGGGGGGGCAGTCAGACAAGCCCCCGACCCGTGTCTGGTGGCGGGGGGGGGGGGCGGAAGAAGCGGGGGGGGGGAGGACAGGGCCCTGCCCACCCGTAGGGCCACGGGGCCCCTCCTAGGGCCTCCAGAGCGCCATGGCGAGGTCGGCACGGATCGGATTGGATCGACTGTAAGCGGCTCGGCTCAGGTTGCGCGGCACCGGACCAAGTGACGACTGTGTGCGGGGCTCGGTGTGTGCGTTGCGTGTGCGTGTGCGCGTGTCTGCGTGTGTGTGTGTGCGCGCGCGCCTCTCTCTGTGTGTGTGTGAGCGGCTTAACGCGCGCTCGGGCTGCATCTCTGCATGTCTCCGCCATCGAAGCCGGCCCGGCAGCGCGGCGAAGGCGGACGCGAGAAATATATAAATATAAATGCGATCTGGCGGCAGGGGCTAAGGTAAGGATCGACTCATTTGCCGAGGGCCGAGTTGTTCGCGTCGCGATGATTTATGAGCTCGACTGCAGGCGCGGTTCACAAAGAGTTCAGGGGGAATCGGTGCGCGCGGGCGTCCGCGAGCGAGCGCGCGCTCGCTCGCGCCTCCGCCGTGTCCGCCTTTTGTTGTCTCGTCACCAGCGCAGGTGTGGTGGGAGCCTTTAGCGGGGCTCGGCCCAAAACATTTAGGGATTCGTTTCCCCGAGTCATCATAAAACGAAAGCGAATCATAAAAAAAAAATTAAAGAAATATAACATGGCCGCCAGAACGGAGACGGGGGGGGGGGGGCGCTCCGCCCCCCCCCCCCCCCCGCGACTGTTGCGCCACGCGACCCTCGGAGCAGATTTATCTCTCGTGGGGGGGTCAAAGATTTGTTTTATTTCGGTGACTTTTCTATTTAATATGTGTCAGCTCTGCTCCATTAAAAATATATACATTTTTTTTTATCTCGTGGAGAGGCCGCGGTTGTAATGGAGGAGGTTTCGGGGTAGGCGCTTAGAGACTGGGAGGGGAGAGAGGAGGAGGGGGGGGGGCACCATCGGACTCCATTCATCTTCGCCACCGCTCTGATTCTGCCTTGCACGGGACGCGCCGCAGCGGCATCGACGGGGGGGGGTGCTAAAATTAAACGCGAACGATTCAAAACGCAAATGTTTATTCGCGGGGTCAGAAGAAACACGTTGACAAAATACGTTCGTTTTGTAACGCGGCTCTCTGTTTTTTTTTGTATTACGTCTCGTTGGCTACGTGCGCCGGTGTTTATTTAAATATAAATATAAAATGTGTCTGTCTGTATACAACCGCGGCGACTGACTGCACACAATATCCCGAGCTCGCGTCTTTAGGGGGAAGTCTGATTTGTTAATATCGAGGCAGTTCACAGGGGCGCCGTTCAGATCCCCGCACAAGGTCCCGCATTTGGGGTTCAGGAGTAGCGCGGGGGGTGGTGGGGGGTGTCCGGAGTCGCTATCGGGGGTCCGGGGTGCAAGGCTGGGGGGGGGGGGACCGCTCCCCGAACCCCCTCGCACCATTAGTAGTTAGTTATTTCGTCTGTCTTTGAAGAGGCAGTGGCGCTTTCAATCATTAATTTCAGTCTTGTGTTATTTAAAGGGACAACGGCCACCCGGCGTGTTTCAGAAACAACAACACTCGTTTGTTGTGTGCTGTTGTTTTGTGCGTGAGGCTATGGTGGTGGTGGAGCTAGCGCTCTCTCTCTATGCGCCGTGCTTTCTCCTTCTCACGCGCGCGCGACGCGTCCGACACATTTGTTATAGCCGCCTTTATATAAATACGAAGGCTGTGATGACAAAATGGCCTCAGTGTGTCACATTTGTTTACAGTGGGCGCGCGCGTGTGTGTAACGCGCGTGTTGTAACGCACGCGTGTAATAATGCATGAGAGCCTGCCCCCCACCTCCTCCTCTCTCTTCACCCCATCCGCCCCCCCCCCCCCGATCAGGTTTCATAGCCATATGCGCAACTCCGCCAACCATTCTGTCGGAGATGCGTTCGTAGTGATCTTCCGGCGCCGGTGGGATCCGGGCAGAATCACCTTCTTGCCTCTCGATGGAACCGACTCCCCGCCGCTCCGTGGAATGGTCATATATATGTACATACGTGTGTGTGTATATATATATCGTTTAATATATCGTTTGCGCGCCAAGCAAATATGAAGCCGGGGGTTGTCCGTCTCATTATCGCCGATGTGCGCAAACATAGCGAGGAAATGCGCACTGTCTGCAACAACACAAAAGCCGCGAAGTGGAGCGGAGCCGGTTTAAAAAAAAAACAAAAAAAATGCCGTCAGGGGCTCCCCTCTAGGCTGATTGATGATGCACTTGTGGATTTTTCGCAAACAGTTAATTTCGAGAGAGAGAGAAAAAAAAACGCCTTTAATTTATTTTTTTGCAACGGGCACCAATGTGTGGCACAACCCTCACATTTAAACCCACCGCGGCACGCAAACGCGACTCGTTCACGCGACTCGCACCACGACCATTGCACGGCGGCCGCGATGTTTGTTATCATTTGGGGGGGGGGGCTGCAAGCAGCAGCGGCAGCAGTCCCCTTTTAATGGGGCCCTTGCAGCGAAGGCGGTTCACGCCGTGGTCACAATAGGCCGAGGGGACGGGGTTCTGGGTTTGTAAGAGCTCGCCCATCCATCACCCCCGCTTAGCAGGTAGAATTCGCCGCGATCGGCGAAAAGGTCGTGGCGGTGGAGGGGGGGGGGGGTGCGTGAATCGGGGCCTCTCGCCAAGGAAATAAGAAGAGGGCATTTCTGTTGCTGCTCCTGCTGCTGCTGGGGTGCTTGCTTGCTGCTGCTGCTGGGTACCCCTGTGTTTTTGGGGGCCTCCCGGCACCCACAAAGAGTTAATGTCTCACGTCGGGCGGCAGCCTCGCGCCTTTGTGTCTGAGCCGAGCCGGTCGCTGGGTCCTCACAGAAACCCACGGGGCCAAGGCTCGCTCTGTGTGTGTGTGTGCGAGTGTGCGCGTGGCCGTTTGCCTGTGTACGTGGCTGTTTGCTGTGTACAGTACGTGTGTGTGTGTGTGCGCGTGTTTCTTTGCGGTAGTGTAGCGGTTAGCGCGCTGCGCTACGAACCCGGCGAGCCGAGTTCGATTCCCGATCGTGGCCTACACCAGTGACGATTATCTGAACCGGTCCTGGGCCTCCCCTAGGTCGGCTCAGCCTCAAATGAGTACCTGGTGCGACGTGTAAAAACATCGCAACTGGGGAGACAAATGCGGCCGGGCGTAGTGCTGGCCACCCACCCCCTCGTGTGCCGTGCCGGCCTTCATTGGTGCTCGCTAACAGCACTTGCCCCAACAGTCTGTTAGGGCTACACGGGGGATCTTTGCATGGGTGACAGGAAGAGACCGGGAACGAAATCTTTACAATTTACACGATTGCATTCGTTACTTATTTATCTGCGTATTTAGTTAATGTACAAACGTTATCCCCAATAAAATATATATTGTCTTTGTATTTTTTTAGCGAAGTCGAAGTACGTTGGTTTTCATGTTGTCGTTTAGTTTTTTGAAGGCCGTCCGAGTGAATTATTCGTTAACATTCAGGCAGTGAGATAATGTTAACGTCCGCGTTGCATTCGTGTGCGTTGCGTTTTATATATATGTTTAATTCCCATTATCTGGAGAAAATGTTCCGGACAGATTACAAACACACGCACAATGTACACTTGGTAAATATTGCCCGAGACGCGAGCCCGCGCGTGTTGTTAGTGCGTGTTGGTGCGCGTTAGTGACAAGAGGTGAGAGCGCTGTGCGTGCGTGATGCCGCGTTGGAGACGAACATTGATGACGAGGAAGATTTTATTTGTGGGAATCGTCGATGGGAACACTCCCCGCGGATTATGAACTCCCACGACCAGACCAGAACACCCCCCCACCCTCCCACCTTTACTCTGCTCGCGATCAGCAGCACGTGAGCACATTCAACACTCACATCGTCACTCGGTTAATGTCACAGGCGTTCATGGAAACCCGAATAATAATAACACAAACATTGCTTGAGCCGCGTGACAAATGCAACATTTTCGTTTATTGAAAATTTAATTCACGATTCAAAGGTTTTATCATAACAGCAACAATAACAATCATTTCAACGAACGTGCCTACCGCGTCCAACGATAAGCCATGCGAGTGGAGGCTTAAGATAAGGTCACATTTAATTTTTTTTGTCGTGCGAGATTTCGTAGACGTGTCGAGTCGCCGCCCCATGCCGCGTAAGCAGCGCGGCGACTCGCGACGTCGCGAACGGTCGGGAAGAGAGGAAAAGAGGCGCCTTCCGAGAATGGCGTCACGAGGTGTTCTTAATAAAAATTCAATACGCGTTACTCAAATAATAACGTCTGCTCGCTTCGATTTGACTCAACGTCTCAGACCCCCCCCCCCCCCCCCCCTTTACCAACCTCGTTTTCGACAGGTTTTTCTTATTGTCGTTTTGTGTTAAAGACTCCTCGGGAAAAAGAAACCACTCTCTCTCACCCCTAACTCGCCACCACCACCACCACCCCCCCCCCCAAAAAAAAATTTCGCCCCGTTCATCCACGGCCGATCGCTTCCCCCCCCCCCCCCCCAGGCAGCAGCGCTCGGCGCAGCACTCGCGCTCGCTGTACGAGGAGCCGCCCGGGGACGATTCGGCCGTGGTCGCCCTCTCGACCTCGCCACCGCCGCCGCCGCCGCCGCCGGGCTCGGGGCGCTGAGATTCCACACCACCACCACCACCAACCCCGCCGCCCTCTGCTGCTGCCGCCGTGGTCGTGAGCCGATGCCTCGGCCAGCAGCAGCCGCAGCAGCAGCAGCAGCAGCTCCACTCGCTCGCCAACCTTGAAGTGTTTTTTTTGTTTTGGGGGGGGGGGGGGGGCGCCACCGCGCTTGCTGCCCGTCATTGGAGGAGGGCGCGGCACGTGACTGGCGCCGCCAATGTTATTTGATAAGGGTGTCAAGACCTTGTCACGAAAAGAAATAAATTCCCCGCAACACCGAGATGCAAAAAGCGACCTACTACAATAACAATTCCGGTGTGTTCGGCGGGTGCTCCTACCAGGGGGGAGGCACTTTCGCCTTTGGCGCCGCTCAGCAGCAGCAGCAGCAACATCATCAGCAGCAGCAACCGCAGCAGCAGCATCATCAGCAACAGCAGCAGCAGGCTGCTTACCCACCGCCATCTGTTGAGAATGACTACCACCGCTTCGCGTGCTCGCTGCAGACCCCGGCTAGCGGGGGCTCGGTGCTCAAGCCGGGCGAGCCCAATGGGAGCTGCATGCAGGCCGTGGGCCGCACGTCCGTGCAGCAGGGGCCGGCCCTCGCCGATCCCCGCCAGCAGCCCCCCCAGCAGCCCCCCCAGCCTCGAGCACCGTCCCACACGCCGTCGCTGTCGCCCCCCTCGAGCAGCAGCGGCGGCGGCGGCGGCGGCGCCACGCTGGCCACGTCCGGCTCCGGCAAGGCTCCGGGCGGCTCCCCGCAAGCCTCGAAAGCGGCCGTGGGCAAGCACATCTTCCCGTGGATGAAGGAGAGCCGCCAGAACTCCAAGCAGAAGGGCGCCGGCGGCGGCGCTGGCGGGGGCAGCGGGGGCGGCGGAGCGAGCAGCACCAGCACCGGGGCCACGAACAACAGCAACAGCTCACCCGTGACAGGTACCCTGAGACGCTCCTGTGACAGGTACTCGCAGTGCTCTCCCGTGACAGGTACCCTGAGACGCTCCTGTGACAGGTACTCGCAGGGCTCACCCGTCACAGGTACCCTGAGACGCTCCTGTGACAGGTACTCGCAGGGCTCTCCCGTGACAGGTACTCGCAGGGCTCTCCCGTCACAGGTACCCTGAGACGCTCCTGTGACAGGTACTCGCAGGGCTCACCCGTGACAGGTACCCTGAGACGCTCCTGTGACAGGTACCCTGAGACGCTCCTGTGACAGGTACTCGCAGGGCTCTCCCGTGACAGGTACTCGCAGGGCTCACCCGTGACAGGTACTCGCAGGGCTCTCCCGTGACAGGTACCCTGAGACGCTCCCGTGACAGGTACTCGCAGGGCTCTCCCGTGACAGGTACCCTGAGACGCTCCTGTGACAGGTACTCGCAGGGCTCTCCCGTGACAGGTACCCTGAGACGCTCCTGTGACAGGTACTCGCAGGGCTCTCCCGTGACAGGTACTCGCAGGGCTCTCCCGTGACAGGTACCCTGAGACGCTCCTGTGACAGGTACTTGCAGGGCTCTCCCGTGACAGGTACTCGCAGGGCTCACCCGTGACAGGTACCCTGAGACGCTCCCGTGACAGGTACTCGTAGGGCTCCCGTGACAGGTACTTGCGCGTCAATGACACGTGTCACTGCCTATTGTTGTTATGGTCGCCTAAATCGTCCGTGCACGCATCTCGCCGTTTCGCTCTCTTTTCAACTGTTGGGGTTTTTTTTTAAACAAAATCACAGTCCCATTCGTTCGTAACTTTGGGGGACGAGTTTTTTTTTATATCTCTCTCTCTATCTCTCCCCATCTTGTACCGTCGTTACAAGACGCCCGTGAAATAGAGCCGAACAGCTGATTGGGCCCTTCATGCTGAAATGATGACAATTCGTTTACATTACGTGTAGTTTATTAACCAGCAGAGTCACCAAGCAAATGAGTCCGCGGTAGTGCTTTTCTTTACTGCAGGATATTGGTCCTGCTGCGACATTGTTTTTTTTATTTGAAGATGTTTTCAGCGATTTAACGATTAAGTGTTTAAACACACATTATGTAATCACTCGTATAAAACGGGGGGGGGGGGGGCGGGAGCGCGGGGGGGGGTGGTTAGCGAGGGGGGCGGGGGTGGTAATCGTCGTCACAATGAACGGGGGGGGGGGGGGATAATCGTCGTCACAATGAACGCACGCGTACGGCCGGTGACATCACGTGCTTTGTTCTGTGCCGTGTATAGGTGATGAATCGGAGGACAAAAGCCCCTTTGGCCTGTCAGCTTCGAAGCGCGCCCGCACCGCCTACACAAGCGCCCAGCTAGTTGAACTTGAAAAGGAATTCCACTTTAACCGTTACCTCTGCCGCCCTCGACGAGTTGAAATGGCCAACCTACTTAACCTCACCGAGAGGCAGATCAAGATATGGTTTCAAAACAGGCGGATGAAATACAAAAAGGACCACAAGTCAAAAGGCGTCGGCAGCTCTCCCGGGAGTCAGTCGCCCACGGAGAGCCCCCCGCTGCACGTGTCCGGCCTTGGCGGCTTCCCCAACCCCGTGCACGGCATGGGCGTTGGCTCATCGGTCTACGACACGGGTTCCCCGACCTCCTTCCCCGGGCAACAGCAACAACAACAGCAGCAGCAGCAGGGTGCCTACAACATCGCCGACCAATACTGCGGGCCCCTGAACAACGGGCCGCCCATGAACACCTTCCAGGGCAACCACAAGCGCTACGCGGGCACACCAATGCCCCACCAGGACTTCCACGACCATTATCAGGGCAACAACGGCAGCTACGGCGACCCGGGCCTGCAGGAGGGCGCAGTGTACGGAGGAGGAGGGGGCGGTGGCGCAGGAGTAGTAGGAGGAGGAGGATACGTGGACAGCATGGGGGGCCCCGTGTTCAATGTGCCCCACCTCCCGCATCCATCATCCGCCAGCATGGGCCTCCCTAGCCCGTCCCAGATGGCCGGCGGCCATCTTGTAAGACCATGTGATTCCCACAGCACGTACACGGACCTGTCGTCTCATCACCACCCGACTCAGGAAGTCCCCAGACTCACTCATCTGTAGCGAACAGAGAGCGAGCGAGAGGAGAGGGAGGAGGAGGAGGAGAGAGCAGGCCCGCCCGCCCGCCCGTCTGTCCGTCTGTTTTGAGAGCTGCTTTACCTCGGGTTGCCCCCCGCCCCTCCGTGACTTGTGTTGTCAGTGTGTGAGTGTGTGTGAGAGATGTTGTGTAAGGGGAGCGGCTGCGTAGTGGTCAGCGCCCCGCGCTACGAGCCGCGCTCACGGCCACCAAAACCAGTGATGATTATATTTGAACCGATGCTGGGACTCCCCTAGGTCAACTCAGCTTCAAACGAGTACCCGGTGCGGTGCATAACCATCGCCACTAGGGAGACAAAGGCGGCCGGGTTGTGGAGTTGCCCCCCCCCCTTCGTGTGCCGTGCCGGGCCTTCATAGGTGCTCGCTAAACAGCACTTGCCCCAACAGTCTATCAAGGCTATACGGGGGACCTTTGTCTTTGTGTGCACATTGGAAACAGTCGCACACTCCCCACCCACCCACCACGGGGGTTCGCCTACAGGCGCACAAGGAGGCGCTGGCACGGTGCACACAACAAGGACACACTGGCACATAGACACAGGCACACAGACACAAGTATACAGGGCACACAGACACAACGCACAAACACGCGCACGGTACTACAGCCGCACAGACACGCAGATCAAGTGCAGAGTTGCACAGACAAAGTGCGCAGACGCACAGAGTACACGTGCGATGAAATACGCAAACACAGTACATGATACCGCCGACAAGTACACACAAAGTCTGCGTACACAGTACACAGACGAACAGTACGTAGACACGCAGGCAGGGGCACAGGGACGCATGTAAAGTACACGGGGGGCGCCGTGCATAGATACGTACACAAATGAGAGAAGTGCACATACAAGTACAAAACCACAGAGCACACGTGGGCACACAGGTGCACATCAAAGTAACCAGAAGCATTTGAAAAGTCACCCAGAGAAGTACATAGGCACAGGCGAGTACACAGGGAAATAGATGATCACGCAGTACACTGCTCTATGGCACAGGCGCACAAAGTACACAGGAATGCAGAACACATGCGCATCAAGTACACACGTGTACACATTCATAATATAGGTTTTTTTTGTTGGGGGTTAGATGGCGACACATTTATATTTACGCGATCTAACTCCAAAAAAAGCCCCCTATATTATGGATATTGGTCGCGAAATCCTACGTGTTAAACTAACAAAGTACACAGACGCCCAGACATACATAATATCTAGTACTTGGGTACACAGACGCGCAGACATGTACACAGGCCATAGACTACAAGGTACACAGGCTGACAGTGCACGGGCACACAGACACGTGAATCTGTACACTGATGAGTACACTGCCACACAGTAGGAGAAGCAGTAACATAGACACTGGGTTTAGGTACACGTGCTTCAGAAACATAGACTGTGCACACACAGACACTGCACATCACAGGTATCTGGGCAATACATGGCCACAAAGTACAACATCATATACACGCAGACTTTGCGCGAGACTAGCGCACAGTGCACAGATACGCGTGGTACACAGACGTGGTACTCGCGCATTCGTTGGAGTTACGTCCACAGACACACGGTGTACAGGCAGGCACGTATAGCGTATACACGGGGTACATAGTACGTACCCACGTGTACACACAAAAAAACACAAATATCTCCCCCCTCGGTATAGCCTTAACACGGGGTACATAGTACGTACACACGTGTACACACAAAAAAACACAAATATCTCCCCCCTCGGCATAGCCTTAGCATACTTATGGGGCAAGTGCTGTTCGCGAGCACCAGTGAAGGCTGGAACGGCACACGAAGGGTATGGTGTGGCAAGAAAATCTCTCCCGGACGCCTTTGTCTCCCCGATGATGATGTTTACACATCGCACTAATTTGAGGTGGAGTCGACCTAGGGGAGGCCCACGACTAGTTCAGATAATCGTCGTCGCTGGTTTAGGCCGAGACCAGGGACTCGAACTCGGGTGGCCAAGGGTTCGTAGTGCAGCGCGCTAACCGTTGTACCACCGCTCCCCACTCACACACACACACACGCGTACGTACGTATACACATTCACCGCGTGTACACATATATAACAAACATACACTTGTACACAGACGCCGGGTGCACACAGGCGTGGAGCACAGACACTCGTACACAAAGGGGGTTAACACGACATACATGACAAATGGTATACTATATTCAGACATCGGGTGTACACTTAGACGTGTACACATATCCGTACGGTGGAGGCACGCACGGGAATTAAACACACGCAGCTCGCATGTAAACGCAGATATGGTACACAACCACCTGTACAAAATAACAACACGGGGAACATAGACGTGGTGCACAGATAATGCACTCGTATACACAACCACGGTACGCACGCGAAGGATGTTTTACTTCGTACGGGGACATTCGCCTTTACACACAGAGACATGCCACGCAGACACACGGCACACGGACACAGGGTACAACACAGTTGTGCGAGCGTACTCGTGGTTCAACAGATACGGGACACAGAGACGCCGTACGCAGACACACCCCGAGTACACGGACACGTGGAATACACACAAATGGTACACAGACACCACGCATAAGCACACGCGCGTGTACATAGATATTTTACAAAGATACAGGGTACAAAGAGACAGGGTACGCAGACAATCTGTGCACACGTAATATATCTGGTACACAAGACGCGCGTGTACACATAGAGTTCCGCAGAAACACATTTGTATACGCAGAGAATTTGTGCACACGCAGACACACACACATCTGTACACACGGAGAACACGGTGCAACATGCACACGTGTGTGTGTGTGTACACAACCCGCACGTGTGCTCCTAGAGAGAGACGGAGGGAGGAGGCGGTGAGACCCCCGTAAGCCTCGAGTCGCGACCAACTTCCATCCACACGAGTCCAGGGAATGGGGGTCCCGTAATGCGCAAAGACAATTGAAGTGATTATTTATTTAAATATCATGTAGGAATGTCTAGAAGCTAAAACCAGCGATGCATTGCACTTTCTTTACATCGTGGTTGATCGTACGCAATCAATTATTATCGACAACGTGAACTTGTCCGCTGCTCGCGTGGTGGTGGAGGTGGTGGTGGTTGGTGGTGGTGGTTGATGTTGGAGAGAGAGTTCAGGCCCTGGCTGTGGTACGGATGGTTCAGAAGAAGCCGGTAGCTCCCATCGCGAGGCGAGCGTGTGTCACGTCTCTGAGCGATGCCTTTCAGTATTTCATTTTGGACATTGGCTGCCGAGTTGCAGTTTGTTTTTTTTTCGTTGGGGAAGGGGGGGGTTGCTTTTGTAACGTCGAGATCACGTTGCTTTGATTATGTGAGGGTATAGTGTTCTTATCCGTCTATTTAATGTATATAGACCCGGTGTTTTACCAAGATGAATTAGGTAGCTTTGTGGTTTTAGGTGAACGTCCGGTCTCATTTAGGGAGGGGACTCGGACCAAACAAGTTAAGAAACGGAACCTTTTTCTATGAATTCCCCCCCTCTCCCCCCCCCCCCCCCCACTTTTGATCAAAATAGTTTCCCTTAAATAAAACTGTTGTTCTATGCCGCTCGCCTGAAGTCGTTGTTGCGTCCGTGGGCCTCGGGCTTCACGCAGCTGCTGCTGTTGCTGCTTCTTCTTCTGCAGCAGCAGCAGTAATCGGGGCCACGTCGCCCCCTTCGAGTGATTGATCGGAGGGCCGAGCCCGGGTCGGGTCCGGGCTGCTGGGTCGGGTCGGGCCCGGGCTGCTGGGTCGGGCCTCGGGGCTTTTTTTTGTTCACCCCCCTCCCTCCACCTACCCCCTTACCCCCCCTACCTACCCCACGCCAGCTCCCGAGTCGCGATTTTGAAAGCGCCACGCAGACGCACACGTCACCAAGAGAGACAAAGATTCCCTCTCCCTATAGCCTCAACAGACTGTTGGGGCAAGCGCTGTTGGCGAGTAGCACCCATGAAGGCCGTGGCACGGCGCACGAGGCGGCGGGGTGGCCAGCGGCACCACGCCCGGGGCCGCCTTTGTCTCCCGAGCGGCGATGTTTTACACATTGCACCATTTGATGCTGGGCTCGTCCTAGGGGAGGCCCCGGGACCAAGAAAGAGCACGCACGTGGACACACGCACACACAGACACTCAACCGAGGCGCTTCTGCGTTTTAAACATCGATTTATTGGGAGAAGGAGCGAGAGAGCGGGGTTTCTCGTAATTGCACCGTGCCGAGCCGATGGTACCGAAAAGCGGCGATGAGAAGCGAGCTGACTCCACACAAACTCGACGTCCCCGTGGCCGGGACAGCATAACGGAACAACAATAGTAACCCCCTCCCGTCCCCACGCGCTCGCCGTGTTAATGAGCAACCGCGGGCAGCGGGAGAATGTGAATGCACGGCGCGCATTTAACATCACAGGGTACAGGCAGGCAGCTGCACGCAAGACGCATATACACAACGCGTGCACAGTGTGTGAGCTACGTGCACGCACGCACGCATGAAACAACGCAGTATTTGTCTGCGTGCCCGCACACCGCCGCGTTAACGCATTCGAACGCGCACAGGATATTTCGCGTTGGACCAGTAATCATTAATTCATTGATTTCACATTTTAAGAGTCCATTATGAATGAAAAGCGATTCAAGCCCGCCACCACCTTAAAGCTTGGGCTCACCGAGCCTTTGGGGGGCATCGCGCGCGGGCGAGTTGCGACCGTCCTGGGCCCCGGCCATCGCACCGTCGCCGCGATGACGCGCCCGCTGGTAAATAACGGCAGCGTTCAGCTTTGGCTCTCAGCGATAAAATGGCCGGAGAGCTCTCGTCGTGCCTACTACATGCAGCCCTGGTAGAGCGCCCGCCGTGTGATGGGAGAGTGATGGATGGTGGGTGTTTATGTGCACACAAACGTGAGTGTGGGTGTGTGTGTGTGTGCAGTTGTGTGATGTGCACACACACACACCGCGAGTGAGTGCGCTTATGTTTGAGTGTGTGTGTGCATTTTTTATGTGCATTGCTGAATTATAAGAATATATATACAGAGAAAGAGAGAGCACATGGCAGTGTGTACGCTTGCGTGTCTTGTCTGTGTGTGCAGCATTCGTTGGATGTGCACGCAACACACCGAGTTCGCGTGTGGTTATTGTGCGCACCAGCGTTAGTGTCACGTGTAGTGCGCGCACACACGCGCACGCGCGTGTACAACGGGATGCGGGTGTGCATTTTGATGAATGCTGTACTGGAGGGTGTGGGTGCGCACGCGTTGATTTGTCGACGTGTAGGGCACACACGTCGTGTGCGTGCGTGCCAGTGTGTGTGTGCGCGCGTGTCGTGTGTGTGTGTTGGTGAGACGTAACGTGCACAATAGGGTGTGTGCGTGGGTGTGCATTCCCGTGTGTAATCTCCTGACGTAAAGAACAGAGCGTGGATGTGAATGCCAGGGTGTTTTTGCCTCTATGAATGTATGTACGTGTCAATGTGTGCGAAATATGCTTTTGTATTGGAATGCGTGCGTTCGCGTGTGTGTTCGTATTTCTGTGCTGGCATGTGTAGTGCATGGAATAATAGGTGCTCGCTAACATCGCTAACTCCCCAAAACGTCTGTTAAGGCTATACCGGGGGGGTTCTTTGTCCTTGTGTATATGGCGTGCGCCCGAGTGCGTTGTCCGTCGGGTTATCTGTGCTTTGATTTTTGTTTATTAGCTGTATAACGTGTGCGCGTGTAACTCTATGCGTAGCTGTGCCTGTGGCTGCGCGTGTGTGCGTTCTACCCGTTCGTATATGAATGTAGCTGCGTGTGTTCACGTGCGTTTAGTGCGCATTAGCATGTACAATTGTGCGTTCGTGTGCATTCTATGCGCTGTGCACTGGCGTTAACGTGTTTGCCCACATCTGTGTGTGCTTGCGTGTAATATATGTGTTCGTATCTTGGTATATTTGTGTACCGTATCCGTGCGTGTATTCGCATGTACACCAACATTAGGATAATTTCGTTTATTCGTATTTGTGAGTTGTACTAATACAAAAAAATGCGTACATTTATACGTGGCCACTGTGTTCGTTCAATACGTACGCTTTCGCGACCAATATCATCCATAATAGAGGTTCTTTTTGGTTATATCGTGTGTTCGTTTTCGTAATGTTAGTGTGTGCCTGTATAGTTGCGTGCCTATTTGTAATTAAGTGCACATTACGTATAAATTCGTGTGAGTACACAGCGTATGTACACGTGTGTTGCAACCCCCGCACTCGATTAGTACATTCACTTTGTGTACACATAGGTGCGTGTTGCGTTAACACACGCACTGTCCTATCTTTGTGCACTGTATTCCTGTGTACATCATATATATGTATGCGTGTGTCATAACATCACTCACCGCCAAGACGGTGTTAAAGGCTACACGGGAGATCTTTGTCTTTATCTTTGTTTGCGTATTATAAGTACACTCCACTATACGTATGCATATGTGCGCGTGTATATTCGGGTGTACGCGTGCGCTTCACATTATAATCACATCCTATTGCACGTGCGTATTCGCGTCAATATATTTGCTCATTTGTATGCGTGTACGTGTGTGCGCGTGTAATATTGCACGTTCGTGTGTACACCTGTGTATACCGATATTTCGTGTGTGTGTGTGCACATTCGTGTGTGTGTGCGACTTTCGAGGCAGCACGGCCATTATACGGAATAATAAATCCTTGTATATTTTGACAGATGCGCGTAACACCAGTCCACGCGCACATGACACTGTGTGTATATTCGTGTGCGCGCGTGCGTGTACATTACGTGTGTTATGCGTACAGTATATTGTTTAATTCCCCAACCCCCCCCCCCCCCCATTGTGTTTATAAATCGGTGTGAATAATTGCCCTGCATGTATGTCTGTAAGTATAGTAGCGTGCGTACATTTGTCTCTGCGTATATTTGGTTCGCATGTTTTCTGGGTGTGTAAATGGGCCTGATTATAGGTGTGTATACGTGCGTGTGATATAAGCGCACACACTAACATTTAATTTGCATATCGGCGCGCGTCCATTGTTTTTTCTTATATTTGTTCGTGTGTGTTGTAATAAGTACTGTATACGTGTGTGTGTGTGTCATATGAACACACCACCAGCCCATGTTATTGTGGATAACTGCAGGCTATTTGTGTAGGACCGTGTGTATATATTCGCGCGAGTGGGTGTATGGTTTGTGTGTGTGATATATCACTGTGTGATACGTGTGTGATACATGCGTGTGAACACACCCCCTTTGTATTTGTATAATCGGTGAGTGTGTGTGATGTATATAATATGTGTGTAATATGTGCATACCCTTTGTATTTGTGTATCTGGTGCGTGTGTGTGCGCGCGATATGACCTCACATTGCTGCATAATTGGTGTGAATTTGTGTGCGTAGGTTTGTGTGTGAGGTCGTGTGTGAATGTTTGTGTGATATAAGCACGGCCCCTCTGTATTCGTATACTTATTGTGTGTATGCGTGTCTGTAGCTTTGTGTGTGTGCCAAGCACACGCAGCTGTACTTGTATAATTGGTGTGTGTGTATGTGTGTACGATGCGTGTGTGTGTGTACAATGCGTGTGTGTGAGTGTGCAATGTGTGCGAGTGTGCGATGTGTGTGCAATGTGTGTGAGATGCGTGTGAGTGAGTGTGAAGTGTGCAATGTGTGCGAGTGTGCGATGTGTGAGTGTGAGATGCGTGTGAGTAAGTGTGAAGTGTGCAATGTGTGTGTGTGCGATGTGTGTGCAATGTGTGTGAGTGTGAGATGCGTGTGAGTGAGTGTGAAGTGTGCAATGTGTGCGAGTGTGCGATGTGTGTGTGTGTGCGATGCGTGTCAATGTGCACACCCCTCGCTGGGAGAGACATCTCGGGGCTGTGAGCGAGATTTCTGCACGGATCGGATTTGTACTGTGAACGGCAGAGACAGGCAGTAACATATACACATTTATTTGTTTCTTCTACTGCAATAACGGCGTGCTGCTGCTGCTGACGATTAACAATAATCTAAGAATATAAATCCATCGCGCAATTCTCCGGAACAATTACGAAAACGCGCGGTAAGCAAATTTTGGCACAATATTCGAGAGCGGCTTTAGCATTTGCGACAACTCCGTTCAATGTAAACTCGCGATGAATTTAATCTCGGCCGAGGTCTTCGAGCCGGACCCTCGCGGACGAACGAGACGCTTAAGCAAGTTGCCTCCCTGGCGCCCGTAAAATTATCCGTTCACCCCGCCGCCACCACCACCACCCACACCGCTTCATAACGAGCAACATCATGAACGTGCAACAACACGCGACAAGGGTGGGGGCAACAGCGGCCAACAAACGATCCTTCTGTTTACACGCACGATAAATCATATTAATATTATAGCCGGAGCCGCCCTGTACCTGTTATAACCTCGCCGTGCGCATTATATTCGCTTAAAATATCGCGCGCCCGGTTCTGACGAGCGCAAACCTCCCAGGCGGTGAAAGAAATCAAACTTGTAAAAAAAAATCGACAAAAAAACCGAATTTCGCGATAGGAGAAAGAAGAAGCAGGAGAAGGGGGAAAAAAACCCCCAGCGACTCGGCCTGCTTCGGACGGCAACAGCCGGCAGCAGAGAGCAACAACGGAGATCCGCCGCCGTCGTCCAGAGAGAGAGAGACACGAGAGCGAGCGGGGCGCCATATTTGAGCGCGTTCGACCCCCATTGTGTCGCTCCGGTTAACGCCAACGATTCCGTTTCGACGTCGCGTGCGAAACGTGCAAACTGCGACGTCGTTAAACGTAATGGGACTGACACTTATAACACACGCGGGGCACGCGCACGTACGCGCGTGCGCTCACACATTTTTTTTAGTTTGTCATTATTATTTTTTTACAGTCCGTGTATTCAAATAAAAATGTGTGTGTGCGACCGCGTGTCACACACACACACGTGCGAGACCACGCGCATGCAATGCATGGTCGCGTACCAACACAGTACAGTATATATTTATTGTACACATAAAACTAATGCCGGGCTATAAATCGTGACCATCGCAAACGCCCCCCCCAATCCTCTCTCTCCGCTCATGAGCGCGCTGCTGCTGCTGTTGTTGTTGTACGCACGGTGGATTGGTCTCGTGACGGACTCCGCAGACTGCATGTGCCATATAAATGCCATCGGATGCGTCTCCTCTTAATGTCGGCTTCACGCGCCTATTATGAGCATTGTAAAGCGCGAATTAATCTCAATTATGGAGCGTCGCCCCCCACTATTTTACATTTAAAATCTGCCGGTCGGGTCCCCACTGTAAGCCGCGCGTTCATAACAATAACCGCGTGTTTTTTTATTATTTCGCAACATTGACCCGCGCATATTTCTATTAATCGCGTTTTTTTAAATAATAATTTCCGCGATAGTAGCAATCGTAATAATAAAACAGCAACGATCAACACCGACGTAACGATTGCTAATTTTATTTTTCGCCGTAATTCGGCGCAAGAGTCGCGGCACGACACAAAGGACGCAGCCACTCCCATCGACATGTAAACGTGGGGACGATAAATGCGCACCCCCCCCCACCGCCCACCACCGCCACCACACACAAACGACATCACATTGTCCTCACTTGTTTACATTTTAAACACTCCTCTCGTCTCCTTCTTGGCGCATCACGGAATCCCTCCGAGTCCTGCTCGCACCTCCACAGCCACACTCACCTGCGCGGAACAACGGAGCGGACCCACCCCCCACCCCGGCCCGCGTGACCGCGGTCTCTTGGCCCCTGTTCCATGAGTCCGGGGGCTCTCGCGACTCCCAAAGTCGCGCCTCTCGCCACTATTTAAACTCTACATCTCTTTATGCGCGGGCGGCGGCTTCGGCTTCTTCCGCTGCTGCGGCGACGGCGGCGGCGGTGGCGTTCGGCGCGGGAGATAACAGAGTCCCGCACACCCACGCGCAAACTTCCCGCACAAAGGTTACCGGGATTCCGGCCACAATCGTTCCCCCCCCCGTCCCCCCCCCCCGGGCGACGATGCCCTCCAGGCCGCCCACACGCGGGGCTTCCTCCCCCCTCCGCCTCTCCCCCCGCACGCAGTGGAGGCAGCCGCGGGTCGCGCGGACCCCGTCCGGGCCTCGGTGCCGTGGTCGGGCCGCTTCGGCCGCGCAGAGGCCCCGCTAGACATCAACACACACGGTCGAGACCGCCGTTGCCAGAGCCCTGCTCTCTCTCTCTCACTCGCATCTACGGGGGTTTGTGTTTCGCGCGCGCCTCAAGACGAGTCCGGTTGCAGCCCGGCCAGTATTTTGATAGGGACCGCTGAATTCCTGAGTATTTGTGCAGGGCAAGAGCTGTCAAGGCTCGCCCGGCCGGGAAGATTGATAGCGAGGGGCTCCGGAAAGACCAGTCCTGCGACTGCAACAATACGCGCTCTCTCACACACACAACACCACACCCCACGTGCGCGCACACAGGCGCACACAGCGCCGACACATGCACACACACACAACACCACACCGCATCCTAACATCCTGACCTTCGTAGAACGTGCGGAGCACACCGCGGTGTGCGTGCGTGCGTTGTGATCGCGAATAAAGGCGCCCGCAGGCGCCCTCATTGAAAAGTCGTTGCCCCAGAGCGAGGCGGCCTCGCCGCACGTTTTATTTGTGTGACCCCGGGGTGAACCTGGCCCACGACACGGGGGCAGCTTTGAGACTGCATGTGGCGCGTTTATGAGTAAAACAGGAGCAGGGCCGCTCCTCCTTCTCCTCCTCCTCCCTCCTCCTCCTCATGACCTCCTCACGCACGTGTCGCGTTCCTCGGCTGCGCACACTGCGCGCCGAACGAAGACGGCGGCCGTGGAATGATGAGAGAAAGGTAAAATGTGACCTGTATCGCGGATCCATAAATCCATCATTGACATTCCCCCCACCCGCCCGCAGCCGCCGCCGCCGCCTCCCCCGCCTCCTCCTCCTCTTCATCCTCCGCCGCCTCCCTCAGCAACACCGCCGCTTGACGCGGCCAACTCGGCCACGACCTCGCTTACTCCATTATCGCAGACGCGTTTAGTACATTTCTATTATTTAATTTCTCACGGTTTCTCTAATCGACGCCCTCCCCCCCCCTCACCACCACCACTTTTCATTTTGTTGTTGTTGTTTTTTACTGAGTTAACGGGGGGGAGGTCTCTCCCCGCCGCCGCCGCCGCTGCTACCGCCGGCAGCCGCCTTCAGCACGCGGCCGATGCCCACGAGCAACCCCAAAGCCGCCGCTGCTGCCGTGATAACATCTTTAACATCAAATTACACCGCTAAATGCATCTGTGCGAGGTGGGGGCGGCGGCGGTGGTGGTGGTGGGGGACCTCTCGGTTTATCTTGGCCGTGTATCGCCGCGGCTTGTACCGGGGAGGTAGAGAGGGGTGGTGGAGGAGTCGTGGTTGGTAGACGTCGCCGTGGTGGTGGTTGTGGGTGGTGGTTGTGGTGGGTGGTGGTGGTGGGGAGGGGACGTGGGGAGACTCCTCGTGTTCTTAGGACGCCTGCGGACCCGCGGATTTGTCACAACTTTTGCTGCTGATTAATGGTCGCGGTCGCCTCTACTTAATGGCTGTGGGGCGCTCGTCGTTGGCGTTATGATTTAGTGTTGGTGGTGGGGGGGAGGCATGCGCCGTGCCCACACGGGAGGAGGATGATGATGATGCCGACGACGACAACAACAACAACGCGTCCTTATGAGGCGAATCTAAACGGGGCCGGCTTCTTTGCGTCGACCTCGACGTCGTCGTCGTCGTAGATGTATCCTAGACGACGGTGCGTTATCTTCAAGAACTAATACCAACAACCACCACGACGACGACGACGAGGAGGAGGAGGAGGCCGACGAGGCGTTTCCCCGTGCGGCTGCCTTGTGGATCAATCACGCCTCAGACAATGCGCTCCCTTCCATTGCGCCGCCCGCCGCCTATTGGCTGGGCGCGCCCACGTGACCGGCGCAATCGCTCCGATTTCAACGTTGTCTCGGCGAATTCAATAGTTTTAAAATAGCCGCAGTCCCCATACGGCCGTAATCAGTGGAATTAAGACCTGGGGGGGGGGGGAAAGGAGGCGAGAGAGAGGAAAAAAAAGGACAAAAAAAATATATACAGACCTTCCTTTAAAAATTACATTTTTATTTTGTGTGTGTGTGTCAAGAAATACGTCGTGCTGCGCTAACACCCCCCCCCCCTCCTCGCTCAGTGCTCCGTCAAGGCAGCGATGAACTACGAGTTTGAGCGGGAAACTGGGTTCATCAACAGCCAGCCCTCGCTCGCCGAGTGCCTGACAGCCTTTCCCCCTGTCGCCGCCGAGACATTTCAAAGTTCATCAATCAAGAGCTCGACGCTTTCACCCCCGACGACACTCAGTCCTCCTCCTCCTTTCGAGTCCATCATCCCGGCTCTGCTGCAGCACGGCACTCGGCCAGCGAGCCGGGCGCGGCCGGCTCCCTCCGGCCGTCTCCCGTCGCCCGCTCAGCCTCCCGAGTACCCGTGGATGAGGGAGAAAAAATCGTCCAAGAAACAACAACAACAGCAGCAGCAGCAACAGCAGCAGCATCAGCAGCAGCAGCATCTACAGCCCGCGCTTCCAGTGCCATCGTCGGTGGCCGGGCCCGTCTCGCCGACAGGTCAGCTTCGACGGACTTGCGCTCGTTGTTGTTGTTGTCGTTGTTGTTGTTGAGCTCCGTCAGCTCTCTCTCCTCTTCTTCTTCTCTCGTTCGTTCGCCCTCTGTGCGCCGGATCGCCGCGCGAGCGTCACGGCGAAGCGACTTCGTGAGACGGCCCCTGATGTGATTATCATGAGAGTTTGTTTTGATGTGATTATTAGGAGAGTTTGTTTTGACGTGATTATTATGAGAGTTTGTTTTGGTAAATATCGCCGTCGTGCCGTGACACACCCCCCCCCCCTTTTTATTTATTCTTCCTCTTTCTTGTTCGCGCGCTATCTGGAGCCCCTCCGTCTCGCGACAACTGATAAGGCCGCCTTGATTGGCAGCCGGTGGCTTAAAAAGTTGTTGTTTTTGATGTGGAAGAGTTGAGTTTAGTTGTGGGGTTGACCAGAGTGTGGGGGGTGGTTGGTTGCTTGGTTGGTGGTGGTAACGATGGTGGTGGTAGTGGTGGGGGGGGTCGCCAACTCTCTAGAAATGACTGTTTATTCAATTAAATGTTTGACAGTTAGTAAATAATGGCCAGGCTTCGACGATCTATAAATACGCTTCGCTATTGACGGGGGGGGGGGACGGCTGAGCCATCGCGGCGGCCATTTTACAGCAGAAGACGCGCGATGGTTTACGCGTTCGGACAGAGTGAATGGGACTTTTGAGTTCCCTCTCTCGGTACAGCGGTGTCTTTATTTTGTGTGTCTGTGTGTGGTGGTTGTTATTGTTGCTGCTGCGGTGCGCGTCTGGGGTCGCCACTCCATTCTCTCTCTCGCCCATCCATCCGCCACCCTCCTCCTTTGGCGTGCGTGTGCGCTTCAGATGACTCCTTAGACGAGGACGGTGCGAACGGTGGCTCCAAGCGGCTACGCACCGCGTACACCAACACGCAGCTGCTCGAGCTGGAGAAGGAGTTCCACTTCAACAAGTATCTCTGCCGGCCGCGGCGCGTCGAGATCGCCGCGCTGCTGGACCTCACCGAGCGCCAGGTCAAAGTTTGGTTCCAGAACCGGCGCATGAAGCACAAGCGGCAGACTCAGTACAAGGAGAACCAGGACAGCTCGGACGAAGCCTTCAAAAATAACAATGGGAATTCTGATCCCAGCGTGGAGCCCAATTCCAACTCGTCCGTCGCCCAATCCTTAATCAGCAATGTGCCCGGCGCTCTGCTCCAAGAAAGGGAAGTCTACGACGTTCAATCAAACGTGCCAATCCATCAATCGGGCCACAACTTAAACAACGGCGGCGGCGCGCCGAGGAATTTCAGCCTCTCCCCCGCGTCGAGCAGCGATGAGAGCCCCGGGCCGGACGACGGAGCCGGACTGCCGCAGCCGCAGCAGCAGCGAGCAGCGGCCAGCAGCCCCGAGACGAGCAGCCCCGACAGTCTGAGCATGCCTTCCCTGGAGGACCTCGTCTTCCCGGGCGACTCCTGTTTACAGCTCACGGCCACCAGTATGCCCGCCTTACCGGACGGCTTAGAGAGCACGCTGGACCTTTCCACGGACAATTTTGACTTTCTCGAAGAGACTCTGAACTCCATAGAGCTGCAGAATCTGCCCTGCTGAGAGTGGAGGTGCGTTTCGGGGGGGGGGGCTGGGGGGGTGGATGGGTGGAATTGGGGGGCACCAGCAAACTGCAGCAGCGGCAGGAGGAGGCACAGAGCACTTGGGCGATGCTGTTCCCGTCGCGCAGTTCACTTCGCGTCTCGTTTTTGTCAGAGTTCGTCCGCGCGGCCCGCGGAGTTTGTTGCCACCGGCGGGGCGGACGAGGTGAGAATCTTAAATATTAAAAAAACACGAAAAAACTTTCATTGGGGCGAGGGACGGTGATCGCTGCCCGATGGAAGCGAACGGGTGTGAACGACGCTGACGACGTGTTTTTTGTCTTTGTTTTTTTTAATTACCGCGGCTCTTTTATTGTCATTTTTCTTGGTTTGTTTGTTTAATTTTGAACAGTTTTAATAGTTTACAAACGGAGAGTACAAGTTGGACACGGGCAAAATACGTTACGGGCACAGCTCTCGTTCTATTCACGTACCCCCCCCCCCCCTCCCCAGCTGGGATGGATAAGTGGACATGTTACAAAGCATTTATAGTTGTTGTATAAAAGTAGTTTACGCATTATGTTATATGTATCTTTTTGAAAATATTCAATAAGTATATAGGCCTGTAGGCGCAATAGATTTCGACTTATGATTAGCAACTTTTTTTTATTTCGGTCACAAAAACTAGTTTCATGCGTTTCTCTTTAAAATAATAATACATAATGTTGTTTCATCGCTCTACAACCACGCATTTGCCCACGTGTCGTTAATTAATCGTTTTAATTTAATGAATGTCGCTTTGGGTTATTTTTTTTGTGTTGGGTTCGGCGAGATCCTTCCCAATTTTCACCCGCGGGGAGACAGCCTCCTCCTCCTCCTCGTTGGAGGAGCGGAGAAAGAGAGGCAGAGAGAGGAGAGAGCGCGCGCGCGAGGAGAGCCGCTTTCTCGCTTATCAGCGCGACCATCTCAAGAGCGGGGTCAGCCCCTCGACTCCTCTATCGCCGCGACAGTGTTACCACACACACCTAGAACCACATCGAGCCCCCTACCGGGGAGAGGGGGGGGCAGAAGAGGGGGGGTGAATAGGGTGCGGGGGTGGTGGGGGGGAAACGAATGTGCATTGTATTTCCGTAAATTATTTTAATAGATTACAAATCAAAGGACACCATATTCAAATAAAAAAAAGACTAAAGTTGCATGGTGAGCTGGTTCGTCGCTCGTTTGTAGTTTAAGCGGCGTCGGTCGCCGTGTTGATTTGGGGGGGGGGGCGACTCTCGCGTACCCCCCCCCCACGAGAGCGACCGATCTCCACTGGCAGTGGGCGATTGTCGTGTGCGGTGTAAATAATCGCGGCCAGGGTTAGGGGTAGACACGCCGCGGTGGTGTGTGCTGCGTGAGTGTGATGATAATGGAGTGGTGTGCGTGCGTGTTGGGTGGTGGTGTGTGTGTGCTGCGTCCTATGTGAGTGTGATGATGGTGGCGCGTATACTGACGGATGGTGCCTGTCTGGGTAGTGTGTGATGGTGAAGGAGTTTGTTGGGCGGTAAGACGTGCCGGCCTGGTCATGGGTAAGAACCTATTCGGTAGAAATGTGTGCTGACTTATGTGTGCGCGCGTGTGTGTTGTTGAAGTGCTCTGGATGACGGGTGTGTGTGTGTTGGTACCGGTGTGTGTGCGCGTGCCGGTAATAATGTAGTGCTGGGCTGATGTTTATGAGCAGAGATGCGCGCTGGCTTGATGGTGTGAGTTGTGTCGTGGTGTTCGCGTTGACGACGACTCTCCCCCCCCTCCTCTTGCCGTGGACGCGTCGCCTCGGCCTCTCAGCTGCCCCGATGGGCGTCCGTGACGCCGGCGACACCGAGCTCGCTTCCGTGAAATGCACAATCAGATGTTATATGAGCTGTTAAACGACGGGGCGAGCGTTTACGGGCGTCGGTCTGGCCGCGTTTAGAAAGCCGGCGGTGTTTTATAGGGAGTTTGGCCAACCCCGCCAGCCGCACATAAATCACGGCGCTTTTCTACTGAATGGGAAAGTCGTTAAGAGCAAGCGGCATTGGCACGGAGGCGAGGCGATAAATCACAGGCCACGTTCTCAGAGCGCCACGGCGGTGTGCGTGTTTGGGGAGAGAGAGCGGAGCGTCTCAACATGGCCGACGTGTCATCATCGCACGTGAAGCTCTCTCACGCTCTGGCAACACTGCACTATGGGACAAATAAAGATGCCCCCCCCCCGTCAAAAGTCTTAACAGACTGTTGCGGGCAAGTGCTGTTAGCGAGCACCTATGAAGGCCCGCATGGCACACGAGCGCGGGTGGGTGGCCAGCACCACGCCCGGCCGCCTTTGTCTCCCCAGTGACCATGTTTGCACATCGAAACAGTTACTAATTTGAGGCTGAGTCGACCTAGGGCAAGCCCAGGACCGGTTCAGATAATCGTCACTGGTGTTAGTGGCCGTGAGCGGGAATCGAACTCGGATGGTCGGGTTCGTAGCGCAGTGCGTTAATCGTTGCGCTACCACTACACGATAGCAAACACGCGCACGCTCAAACGAAGGGCATACGTTATACTATAATGTACGTTTTCCTAAAAAACCACGAAGATATCCTCTTATCGCCTCTAACATGACTTGTGATGAGTGCTAGTGCTGTTAAGGAGCACCCAACACTCCCTTAAACTCCCACGTACACTCAGACTCACTAACGCACGCACACTGGTTCGAAACTCGTTAGCACGCATTACCACACACTATCAGATTCGTAGAGTATTAAATAGTATGAATACTACGTGTACGAATGCGCTGCCTATAATATACACGGGCAAACAAACTTATCACGCAGTGAAGCAAACGACGACTCGCACACTTTATGACACTCACAATGACCGACACTCTCCAACGCACTCCGGCACACACACACACACACAAGAACGCTCTCTCTTTGAACACACACATCGAGTATAACGCACACTCCTCCCGCATTCTGTAACAACACACGCTCACACACACACGCTCTCCAACAGATGCGATCACCCTACGCACACACTGAGCACCATAGATCCCTCCCTCTAATTCACACTAACAGGCCTTCATCACAACTTGTAGCGCCTTCTCTTATCCTCGACACATTACGTACACGCGTCAAATGATAACATCATTTTTTTCATGTAATCGGGAGAAAAACAACAGTAATCTTTGAGTCGTATCGTCTCCTTCACTGCAGGGTGCCGCGGTGCATTATTTGGTAAATTCCTCACTGCGTAGGGCTTCTGTTTTTTGTTGTTTAAGGGGAAACAATTTCAGGACGCCACTTCGTGGGTACGTCCGTGCGTGGAACTTCTTTTGCACCATACGTAACCAACCGTGCTAAATCGGAGGTGCTGGTTGAAGGACATCAAACTAAACGCGCGCACACACACACACAAACATACAAAAAGAGTTATAACAAAAAGAAATGAGTTTTCAACTTAAAGAAATTGATCGGTATCGTCAGTAGCAGGGCTGGCAGCTGAGAGTGGCACCGGGTTTGGATCCGCGGGCCCCGTTGCTGGTGCGTAACCCAGAAACAAACATTGCGGCTCACGTTTAACAAATATTCCCCACCTCGGGTGATAACAGTTTATTTAGTAAATATTGCAGTTTATTATGATGTGTAATCTTCAACGGTAACATTCATACGTATCCACGGTTATATACTCGGCGTTATGTTACCCGTGTTTATAGAGTGGATGTTTATTAATATTATTACGAGTGTATATCAGTGTTTGTTAGTGTTTATTATTGTTATGATTTGCTGTGCCGTGGAGGAGATAGCGCGAAATCACGCGCCCGTGGCGAGGGTTCCCTCCTTGAAGGACTCCGGGCAGGGGGAAGACACTGAAGAACTGAGATGAAGTTGACTCTGGCTGTGTAAAAGACTAAGGCAGAAGTAGCCAACGGCCAAAGCGAACTTAACGCAACTAAACGTTTTAATTCTACTACTGTAAGGCCCACTGAGCTGATGTATCGTTCTTTTTCGGAAGTGACTTGGCCACCATTGATAAGATCAACGAAGTGGCTTATTACCGGGAAATTTATAGCAGCCAAATATTTTGAACGCGTGTTTCTAAAATGTCGAGGGAAAACCCGGAGGACTCGGGGGGGGGGGGGGGGGGGTGGCAAATCCACGCGACCACGGGGAGAGAGAACACGCAGACTCCACCGAGATGTCAACTCTGCTGTTTGGGGATGAGGGCACTGGAGACAACTTCCCGAGGCTCAGGAAGAGCCCGTTGTACGCCGACGATGAAGAAGACAAGTGGGATAGAGCGACACGTCGCCTCTTCACGCGTCATGCGCTGGCATCTGTCGAGCGACCGGGAATTGCCGCTGCCCCTCCACCACCACCACCCCTTTGTTGGGCTCATTGTGCCGAGGCCCGTGAATGGCGCGGGCGTGGAGGACTTGGGGAGTCCCGCCCGCGCATTCCTCCTCGCTCCCTGGCCGCGTTTGCGCCTCCTGACAGAGAGAGAGGGGGCGGTGGTGCTGGGAGGACCGACAACGACGCAAAGGGCCGGGGCGTGGGGGGGGTGGCACTTAACGCACGCATATTACATACACACACACATGTGTGTGTATGTAATATGCTGATTGTACACACGTGTGTGTGTACAGTCAGTACAAAGACAACGAAGATCCCCCAGTATAGTCTCAAGAGACTGTTGGGACAAGTGCTGTTAGCGAGCACTGTCGTATAAACACAAAGACGACCCCCGCCCCTGTACAGCCTTAACATGCTGTTGGGGCAAGTTTTGTTAGTGAGCACACTGTCGTATAAAGGCAAAGACCCCCCCCCCCCTGTATAGCCTGAACAAACTGTTGGGGCAAGTGCTGTTAGCGAGCACACTTACGTGCACACCTACAAAGACACACACACATGCAGACACTTAAATGCGTACACACAGTTACATATATACACAGAGAGAGAAGATATATGAACTTATATGCTGAGTTACATTCACACAAACGAATACAAATATTCCCCGCATAGCATTTAACAGACTGTTGGGGCAAGTGCTCTGAGCGAGCACCTATGAAGGCCGGAACGGCACACAAGGGGGTGGGTGTGGTCAGCACCACGCCCGGCCGCCTTTGTATCCCCAGTGGCGATGTCTACACACCGCACCAGGACACTTACATACACACAAGGGTACACACAAGTCTAGTCGAGTATACATTTAAATCTAGAGGGGCTCGACACACAAAAACACTCGTATACACCCGCTTACACATATACATTATTATACAAAGACAGTGCATACACATACACGCATACGTATATACACATTAATACATACACAACATGTATACTGTAATACATATAAATGTGTATAAAATACAGGACTTAGATGCATAAACACATAACACTCGCCCCAATACACGTCGTTGTATGGCTCTGTACAAAACGAAGACACGTGCAGACAGACGGAACGCAACGACACGCACAGACACGTACGAATACATATACATCCATACATGAACACATAGAGTGGACACGTACACGCACACGCACGGACACGTACAGCGTGTATACATACAGAACAAACTCGCGTAAATACGTGTATACACACACAAATATATACATAAAATATACACAGATAAACAGACACGCACTTGCACACATGCAGACATCGTTCAGTATACAAACACGCGTACCACAAAGTGGAGCGACGCAGGGATGTACAGAAACTCGTACACACAGATTCAACTCGCGCACAGGCGACACGCGACGAAGCGCGCAGCACAACGATCGCTGGTGGTGACTCAGTGACGGTGACGTCACCACAAAGCGCGCGTGCCAGGCTAGGTGCACCTCGAGGGCGGGTGAAGTTTATCGACGGCTCAAGGCCACAAACAAAAGTACAAATGCAACGGACAACAGTCGACTCCGCTCGCCACTGCAGTGACGGGAGACGTCACCGCGGCGCGTGTACCAGGCTAGGTGCGCTCCGAGTTGCATGCAACAGACGCAAGGGGCGACAACGCTTCAAGGTCGCGTGGAGATCGTGACTCGGGCGCTAAGGAGGCTTCGCGCACGCGGACCCAGCGCGAGAGTTTGGTGCCGCTCGGGTGATCTTGAGGCCCACCTCGTTTTGAGAAGGTCGCCCTCTGTGACGCACACGAAGACTAAGATCCCCCGTGTAGCCTTAACGGACTGTTGGGGCAAGTGCTGTTAGCGAGCACCTATGAAGGCCGGAACGGTACACGCAGGGGGTGGGTGGCCAGCAGCAACACGCCCGGACCGTCTTTGTCTCCCCTAGTGGCGATGTTTATACACCGCACCAGGTACGCATTGAGGCTGAGTCGACCTAGGGGAGGGCCCAGGACCGGTTCAGATAATCGTCACCGGTGTTGGCCGTGAGCCGGGAATCGAACTCGGGTCGCCGGCCGGGTTCATAGCGCAGCGCGCTAACCGCTCCGAGACAAAGATCCCCCGTGTAGCCTTAACGGACTGTTGGGGCAAGTGCTGTTTGCGAGCACCTATGAAGGCCGGAACGGTACACGAGGGAGTGGGTGGCCAGCAGCACTACGCCCGGGCCGCCTTTGTCTCCCTTAGTGGCGATGTTTACACACCGCACCAGGTACTAATTTGAGGCCGAGTCGTCCTAGGGGAGCGCACACACACAGAGGATGCCGAGTCGCACACGCACACAAGTATTTAAACGGCGCGACTATAGGAGCAGTGCCCTTTGCTTCAACTGGGTTTTTAAAATAGATTTTTGTTTTCTTAATGTGTCTTATGTAAAATCAGCGCGTGTGAATGTCGTGCGTGGACGATTCGTCGGTACATCGCAGGATCGTGCGAGATAGCGATGGCGACCGCGGCGTTGGAGAGGCCTTCATCCAGCAGTGGATCGATGATGGCTACATTAGTAGGATTATTATACGCTGTAGAGGTCTGTGGGTCGGTGTGTTGGCGTAGTGGTTAGTTCCACTGCGCGATGAACCCCATTTACCTGCAGCATGAGTTCGATTCCCGGCCACGGATACCGTCAGTGGCGAGTGACACGTATCTGAACTAGTCCTGGACACGACCGCTCTCCCTCATCTACCAGTGTGGTGAAGTATGGTCAAACAACCCCCCCTTCCCCATGACTTAACACGACGTTCGTATGCAACTATCCATCAATGGGTTGACAATGTTCTGTAGGGTACAGTAATAGCAGATGCCTTTGTGTACAGTATATAAAGTGCGAGTATTAGTTAAGTTGGATTTAAAAACTACTTTTGGACAATAATAACCGGACAATATTTTAAAGGAAGGTAATACGATGGGGGTGAGGGAGCGGTGGCACAGTGGGTTTGTTCACTGAAACATGTACCTAGCCATCTGAGTTCGATTCCCGACACCGGCTAACATCAGTGGCAAGGGATGTCATCCCCTTCCCCCCACCCCTCACCAGGCTGGGTGGCGAAATTAGGTCAAATATTTTGCTAAATGACTGACGCGGCGTGGAGAGAACAACATCATCCAGCAGTGGATTTCCAATATTCCGAAAACATTTTTTTTGCAATGCAGAGTCGTAGGTTTATTATGATTACAATTAATAATTATTATATCATTTGTTTACGCAGGGAAGCCTCCGCTGAGTTTCAAACCTCTTTTTCAGGTGGGCCCTGCCCTGGGGGATGTAATCGCCAATTCCATTGCAGGGGGTGATGACAGCTCCGTGCCAGGAAGAGAGAGGGAGAGGCGTCCGTCAGCACGGCAACTGAACTGTGACGTTTTTTGGTAAAACATGCAACGTATTTAAATGGCACACATACACGCGCGTGCGCATCGAGAGACACACACACACGTGAGGAATACGCATTAAGAGAAGACGCCAGCGCTTACCCCTCGGCACGCAGAGGTACATTCACGCGTGTTTGTGGAGGCGTTATTATTTAATAATTTCCCTTTAAAACAAATAAAAAGTTTGGGCCGGGAAGCGGGGAGGAACTGATGAAGCGCACTTGCACTGCTGCTTAAAAAAAAACACACGGGCTCCTGTCCAGCGGCACACTACTGCAACACGGCCACCGCTGCACCAGCCACCACTGCACAAGCCACCGCTGCACCAGCCATTACAGCACCAGCCACCACTGCAGAAGCCTCCACTGCACCAGCCACCACTGCACAAGCCACCACTGCACCAGCCACCACTGCACAAGTCACCACTGCACCAGCCATTAGTGCACAAGCCAATAGCACCGATCTGCAGGGTGCTGCCTCTCGTCAGCCACGTCTGTGAGCGCGGCAGCTATTCAACTATTTTCATTCATTTTTACCAGGTAAAGCCCACTGAGCTTTGTGGCTCTTTTTCAGAAACGACCTGGCCACTAATGATAGCTCAACAAAGTGGCTTATGATGTGGAAATGTATAGCAGCCAAATGATCGAAACGCAAGTTGAATCTAAATGTGGAGGGTGAGAAAGCACCGGAGGACCTGGCGAAAAATGCACACGATCACGGGGAGAGAGAGAGAACATGCCAACTCTAAATATACAGCAGCAGGCGTCAGGGTCAGGATTGAACCCACAACCTCCTGCATACCAGGCGAGGGAGTTAACATCTCGCCGCCGCGGTGCCACGCATGGGCCAGGGACGCTCGCCGCACGTCGGGGCTGGAGCGAGGCGCGTGGTGCGGAATGATGAGGAGGCTCCGGGTGTGCCGTGCGGAGTGCGCCGCGACCCCGCGAGGAATATTGATGAGCGCGGTTACTTGCTCCCTCCTCGCTGCTGGACGCGAGCAGATGGGGGGGGGGGGGCACAGAGCTTTGCTGTTTCCTACTGCCTCCTTCTCAGCGGCCGATCAGACACTGGTGGCGCTGTTCCCAACAAGCGATCGCGACACAGCACAGAGAAGAGGGGTTGGAAGGAGATGGACGGACGCGGTAGACGGAGTGGGGGGGGGGATGAGAGGCAGAGGGATGAGCTCACGGAGGGGGGCGTCGGGATGGAGAGACGAGCGGACTGAGGAGTTCAGGCCCCGATAGAGGTCCAATGTTTCCGCCCTCAAATTACATTTCTGCACGCGTTCCTCTTGGCGGCGGTGACGAAACGGGACTAATTTCGAGGGTAAACACCACCGGGGCTCGGCTCGCAGTTGCAAAAAGGAAACGCAAATTGCCTTGAAACCACGAGGTCCGGCGGCCCCGACACCCGACACACTCCTTCAAGGGCCCCTGCGTCCGGGCGAGGCAGTGGCGAAGGCCCCCCCCCCCGCCTTCTCCTCCAGAGCTGGGGAAATGAGGCCCGAGTCCACAGTAAATATTTACCTTGGTGCAGACACAATGTGGGAATTCGCTCGTGGGTCACGCGGGCGGAACATTACCCGCGCGAGGCGGGCGGCCAGAGCTGGGCGGAATCCACAGCGGCGGCGGCGTTGGGAGCACGAACAGAAACATTGGCCAAGCGTGCAGGTGGGGAGGGATGGGCCTATGTGGTGGACCTATGGGTGGGCTCGCGTATAAAAGCTAGCGGGGGATGGGTGGACTATAGCTCAGGGCGCTTAGGAGAGGTGAGATCATGGCCCAGGGAAGAGATCGGATCGTGGTCCAAAGCCCAGACAGGACATCAGCTTAGGGCCCTGTAAAGACATGCGAACATTAAGGGCATCAGCCATAGGGCCAAGCTCTCAGCGTGGGGTCCCAATTGCCACGCTCAGGGGTCCCTGGATTAGAGCGATCCCTACGGGGGGGAGTGGGGTGTCTGTGGTCTGTAAACTTGCCACGCGCCCTTCCTGGTATCAGGGCGGCCACGCAGATACCAGGTGCCCTATTCACCCCCTGTGTGGATTAGCGACGGTGGGGGGGGGGGGTATGGGATTTGCTGTGACCTCTGGGCTGTCCGCGTCGGCACACGGAGCCCTGCTGACTGTCGCCGTGTGGTGACGGGAAGGGTCACGTGGTTATTTATTTATATGAATTTTTGTTATATATAAATATTTAGTGTTTTTTTATATTAATTAGAAAATTCGCCAGCACATTCTATTTTAATTACTGTAATTTTTCGTAATCGCGTTAGACGCTGGAGAGCCTATAAATCATTGGGAATTAATGTGCGGTTTCTTCAGAACAAACCCCACTCTGAGCGCTACCCCGCCGCAGGCAACAGGTGAGTTGGGGTCCCGTCACATCCGGACAGTGGTAGTCACAGCATCGACAGCGAGTCCCATTCCACCTCGCGACTACTTAAACTAAAAACTAAACTACGTGATTTTTTTTTATTTTACCAGGTAAGGCCCACTAAGCTATACATCTCTTTTTCAGAAGCGACCTGGCCACAAATCATAGCTCAACCAAGTAGCTTATCACGTGGACATTTATAGCAGCCAATTTACTCTCAACGCATATTGATTGTAAATGTGGAGAGAAAAAGCGGAGGACCTGGAGAATAATCCACGCGACCACGGGGAGAGTATGCAAACCCCAAATTTATAGGCATTAGGGTCAGGATCGAACTAATGGTCTGCTGTATACCAGGCGAGGGAGTTAACATCTCACCACTGCGGCGCATTCATCACCATCAGTAAACCCCCAATACAACAGCATCTTCTGACTATAACAGCCTGACCTTTGTAATTTGTAAACCACGGTCACACATACAGTGATTGATTGCTTCTGTGGACAGGTGTCTTTTATACAGGTAACAAGCTGAGATTAGGAACACTCCCTTTAACAGTGTGCTCCTAATCTCAGCTCGTTACCTGTATAAAAGAAACCTGGCAGCCAGAAATCTTTCTGATTGAGAGGGGGTCAAATACTTATTTCCCTCATTAAAATGCAAATCAATTTATAACATTTTTGACATGCGTTTTTCTGGATTCTTTTGTTGTTATTCTCTCTCACTGTTCAAATAAACCTACCATTAAAATTATAGACTGATCATTTCTTTGTCAGTGGGAAAACGTACAAAATCAGCCGTGGATCAAATACTTTTTTTCCCTCACTGTACACACACGCAGGCACATTAATTCAATCATACAAAACAAGGATCTCTCTTTAGAGACATGCATACAGACTGTTGTGGCAAGTGATGTGAAGCCAGAAATCCGCCTTTATCGCCCCATACAATATTCTCATTTAATGCTGAGTCGACCCAGGAAAGGCCTAGGAAAAGTTCTAGTTTCTAACACCACTTGCCACTGATGTTAGCCGTGGCTGGAAATCGAACAAAGATCGCCTTGTCAGTAACGCAACCACATCGTCACCGCTCCTCCACACACGCCACCGACACATACACAGATTCGTACACAACAACAACCGCCGTTCGCCGATAAGTGGCGGTGTCATCACCACAGCGCTTTTGCCAGGCTAGGTGCACTTTTAAGCTGTCGACACACACCTATTCACATAGTTATACAGTGGCAGACGGACACACACCCATACTTACACACACACGGTATTACACAAATGTAACAGTGGACACAGAGACATTTACCCACGCCCCCAAAGACAAAAAGCAAATATATCCCTATAGCCTGGACAGACTGCTGGGGCAAGTTATGTTAGCGAGCGCCTATGAAGGCCCGCATGGCACCCGAGGGGGTGAGTGGCCAACACCACGCCCGGCCGCCTGTGTCTCCTGTGTGGCGGTGTTTTAAACATCACACCGAGTACTCATTTAAGGCTGAGTCGACCTAGGGGAGGCCCGGCACCGGTTCAGATAACCGCCACTGGTGTTGGCCGTGAGCGGGAATCGAACCCGGGTCGCCGATGTCGGAGCGCAATGCGCTAATCGCTGCGCCACCGCTCCCCACACACGCACAACCCACACGTACATACACACACACGCACACGCGCACGTGACGCCAGCGAGGACACCCACGCGTGACGCCACAGCGCTATCAGCGCCACGCGCGTCCACCCCGTTTGCGGGAGAAAAGCTTCACACCCACACCCACCCACCCACCTTGCCTCCCTCCTCCCGGCTCTCTCTCTCTTATCCCCACTCCCTCCTTTCCCTCTACCCACCAACGTCCCTCCCCCGCCCATTCTTTACATTTTCTGGAGGCCTGCACTCACCAGGGGATCCGTGGCAGAAATTACACGTGGCCGCGAGGTGGAGGAGGGAGGAGAGAGGAGATCGACGCGAGTGTGTGGAGAGTCGAGTCCGGTTGCGGCCTGAGATTGGACTGGGTCCACCTCGGGTGCAGTGAGTTGATGCGTGGTCTCAGCCCGGTCACCAATGACTGCACACACACACACAAATCTATAACAAACAAAAAAAACTCGATCATACACACACACACAAAATCCATCACGTTAAATGTGGATTGTTCACTTACATCCGCACACTCCGGCTATAAATAATTGCAGCCCTTTGTTAATCCAGAATCATAATCGGAATATGTATTTATACTGGAGGAATCCGATGTGCTATACAGCTCTTAAATTGTTACGGATGTCCAGTAGGGGCGGATCGGAACGTTACCACAACAAACAATGCAAAAAAAACCATAGGAGTGCAAAGTAGAGGAAACGTAAACAAAGCACTTAAAATATACAAACAAAAACCCACTGAGGTATTAACTTATTTTTTTCAGAAGCGACTTGGCCACAAATTATAGCTTAAAAAAAAGTGGGTTATCACGTAAAAATTTAGAGCAGCAAAATCATATAAATACACTCAACGAATGTTTCTAAGAATGGAAGGGGGAAAACCCGGATGACCCGGAGGAAAAAAATTCACGCGACCACGGGGAGAGAAACATGCAAACTACAAATATACAGCAGTAGGCGTCAGGGTCGGGATCGAACCAACCGACCTCCTGCATACCAGGCGAGGATGATAACATCGCACCAAAATGAATAAATAAAGTAGAAAGTTAAAATTGCATAATCAATTCCCAGGCTGTGGGGATTTGTTTGGACAGACTTCACCGAGCGAATCAGGGCGGCTCGTTGACGGTTCGGATGCCACTTTTCCCCACGAATATCAAACTATTGGCCGGGAATCGCAAACTCAGGGAACCGTGGTTTTATAAGTGCGTGGCGCTTAACCACCGCTGCACCACACCCACCCACCCCATTCCGGCTATCATGAGATCGAAAAGAATTCGTGGGGGTTGATTGACGCGTGACAAACACTTCTTTGCCGAGGCATTCGAGAATGTGGCCCGCATAGTTTGAGTTTAAAAGGTCCCCATTCAAGGCGCCCCTCGCGTGGCGTCATCTCACGAGTTGGGGATCGTCGAAAATGAAATGCAAACCTTTCTTTTCGCTACTCTGAGTCAAACGAGAAAAAAACTCGATGGCGTGTAACACGCGAGAGAATAATCAACGATAAATTATAAATACCGCAAGGGGGATCAACATGAAAAAAATATATATACTCCGCGTCTTCTGCTTCAGAGTGGGCGCTAAAGACCCCGTGACGTCTTCGCAAGAGTAGGCCACGGGGTGCCGGCGGCATAAACCAAAATTGCCAAATATAAAACTAAAAACTTCCCGATGCAGTAATTATTTAATTGGAATATACATTTAACTAAACTTTGTATTTTACCAAGTAAGGCCCACTGAGTCATGTAGCTCTTTTTTCAGACGCGACCTAGTCGCAATTGATGGCCTAATGAAGTGGCTGATCAAATACTCGAAACGCGTGAGGTTGGTTCTAAATGTGGAGGATGAACCCGGAGGACCCGGAGAAAAAGCCACGCGACCACGGAGACAGAGAACATACAAGCTCCAAGTATACAACAGGCGTCGGGATAGATCCAACGACCTCCTGCATACCAGGCGAGGTAGTTAACATCTCGCCACTGCGGCGCCCTACACATACAGTGTAGCAATCATCGTCCACCTCCTGCCAAAACCTGGCCGGACTCTCCTGAAAATGTGTCGTGTGACTCAGTGACAGAGCCAGTGACAAGCGTGATTATATAGTTATGTATATCATAACTCCTTCCCATCGCTGTGTGAAACCTCAAGAGCTGGGGACCATCACCATTTGGGGGTTGCAGCGGTGCTGGCCACGCGCACGTGCGATGGATTTTCATCACTTTAACAAATCAATACGTGCTTCATCGCTATCTTTCTCACTCTTCATATCGTTTCAATTTTTCCCGATTAACTCACCCAGGTTGTTGCATCACCGTTTTTCTTTTTTTAAACAACCGCCACTGGAAGAATGTCACCAATCGCATGCTCACTACGTTCACGAACAACGCAGACTCCACGACGCCTGTGTTCGCGCGTAGCGGTATACGGACATTATACCCCCGAGGTTTCACTGTGAGCTAAATTGCGTCAATAATTGCAGGCAATTTCCCCGTCCGCCTTAGGAACGTGGAATTTCCACCGCTATCTCACAGGGCTGCTCTCTGCAGCCGGAGGTGCCGCGCCTGGGGTCGGGGGAAACGTCGCGCGCCCTGGGCTCACGCAGCCGATGTCAGCTCCTTCAGAACGAGAGGCGAGATAAGCCGGCTATCAGTGGCGAGACCCCACGTGCCCCCCCCCCCCCCCCCACTACGCTACCCCTAATACCACCACCACTACACCTCCCCACACAGATCCTTACACTTCCACTAACACCACCCCTACACCCCAAACACCCGACAAAGACACAGATCCCCCGCATAGCCTGTAACAGACTGTTGGGGCAAGTGCTGTCAGCGGCACACGCAGGGGTGCGTGGCCAACACCACGCCCGGCCGCCTTTGTCTCCCCAGTGGTGATGTATACACACACCAGGTACCCATTTCAGGTTGAGTCGCCCTAGGGAAGGCCCATCACCGGTTCAGGTAATCGTCACTGTTGTTGGCCGTGAGCGGGAATCGAACTCGGGACGCCGGGTCCGTAGAGCAGCGCGCTAACCGCTGCACCACCGCTCCCTAGAGCCACCCCCACATCACCATACACTCTGCCGTCTACAACACTAATACCATTGTATACTCTTCAACACCGCCCTCCTTGATCCCTAACACTACACACACACCCCCTGTGATTCTCCTGCACACCTACACACTGCACCTCCCCTTCTACTATCACCACCACCATGAGCATCATCACTACCGCCATCATCAGCACCGCTACCGCCATCATCATCACTCTCACCACCATCATCATCACCAGCACCACCACCACGGCTCTCAACGACTCAATCCACACCCCAGACAGAGCCAGTGACCCGTGGACGGGAGGTCCCTATACCCCTGTCTTAAAAGCTGTTATGACTCATGGAGATAAATGAGGTATAGGATTGGGAGTTTGCGCCCACCCTCTGTGTGCTGAAGGTGCACACGATAATAATTACACACACAAAAAACGCAGTCACTGGAGAGCTTCCTCGCTGAGTCTCAAGATCCATTTGCAGGAGAATCGTTTGTTTAGATGTTTGGACCGCCCCCTGTTATTTGCGTTTGAACTGACCGAGAGAGGAGGAAAACTGGAGTACCGTACCCGGCAAAAATGAGCAGGCACGCGAGGGCATAAGGTGAGGCTGCACAATCCGTACGGATATGTCAAAATCCCACTTGCTGTCCTGCAATTCGTGGCCTGAAGCTGGTACCCGAATCTCAAGGGATGAAGATAACCTTCACCCCAAAGTCCCCGGGTAGGGTGGAGTAGGGTTCGATATCTGCGTCTGGCTCCACACGTGGCAATTCTCACCCGTATGAAGTACATCATCATGGGGTGATTACAGTACACAGGCATGTTGAACTTCTTTCGCACCGTCCGCAGCCAACCGTGCTCATCGGAGGTGCGGGGAAAAATACAATGAAGCAACACAATATGTTAACGTACGGTTTTAGATCGTCATAATAATGATTTCAACTTGTAACTCGCATAGCATTCGCTCATTCTCGATGAGAGAAAGAATAAGAACTCAGATGCGTTAGGAAGCACAGACAATCAAGAAGGCAGCCATGCGGTCCTCGATATGTTATCTGCCCATGAATGAGCATTTACCCGTGGGAGAACACCACAGCACCTGAAGCAAACCCATCCGTGCTAGACGGAAAAAAACACTATCCGATACAGACAGAAGAGGTGGGGTCCACGTATTTTTCTGTACTGCCTTCTCTTGAAAACCCAGGGTATGTGGCACCTCATTGCCCACGAGAAGAACGTTTCATCATAATTGTGCGATCTACCAGCCCTCACCCCCATGACGGTGCTGGATTTACAGGCGTGTGCCACCACTGCCTGGCTGAGAGCAAATGATAATGTGTATTATGCGTGGTCGCGGAAAAAACTCAAACAATAAATATGTATCCGCATCTGCCTTCCCCGCACCATTTCCTGAAGCAGTCAGCTTATGAAACACCATCACAATCAACGTCCTCGTTTATTTATAGTCAGGTAAGGGCACATCGACTTCGGCTCGGCACGGGAGCTAGATGGATGATTACATCGCGAGGTCGTGGAGACAGCTTGGATCAAACTTATTATCCATCAGTGGCTTGATCATGGCTGACGTGGTTCATAATCTTTATTTTATACCAGATGAGAGACGACTGAGACTGAACAGGAGCTCCGCACATTAGGAAGCCACTTAAGCTATGCACATTTAAATCTAGATTGTTTAGTTTATTGTCCTCTCCCCGCACATCGGATTAGCACGGTTGGCTACATACGGTGTGAATGAAGTTCAACATACATAGAGTTCACATGATACAAAGTAAAACAAAAAAAACCCCCAGCATTCAGGGTGACATATTCAGCAATACGGGGTGGGTTGGGGGTGGGAACGAGACTACGAGACATTTATAAAATTAATAACAGCAGCATAAAGGGCGTGCACGCAGTGCATTGAACGGAGCCGGCACCGTTGCCGGCACCGCGCTCCGGCACGCTTCCCAGCACGCTTCCCAGCGGCAGTGGAAACACGGCGCGGGTTCCGCGTGCTGCGGGACAATTAAAGCTCCACGCGGCACGCCCTCTCTCGCCTCTTCTCTGCCTCTCACCACTATCTCCCACCCTCTCTCTCTCCTCTTCCCTGCCTCTCACCACCATCTCCCACCCTCTCTCTCCCTCTTCCCTGCCTCTCACCACCATCTCCCACCCTCTCTCTCCTCTTCCCTGCCTCTCACCACCATCTCCCACCCTCTCTCTCTCCCCTTCTCTGCCTCTCACCACCATCTCCCACCGTCTCTCTCTCCTCTTCCCTGCCTCTCACCACCATCTCCCACCCTCTCTCTTCTCTGCCTCTCACCACCATCTCCCACCCTCTCTCTCTCCTCTTCCTTGCCTCTCACCACCATCTCCCACCCTCTCTCTCTCCCCTTCTCTGCCTCTCACCACCATCTCCCACCCTCTCTCTCTCCTCTTCCTTGC